TCGCGGCGTGCAAAGCCCTCTTAGATTCCAGGGAGTGATTCAAGGAGTAATTCCATGCTGAATACCAGGAATCCCTGGCGTGTATGGGGGGGGTGCATAGCTTGTTTAATCCCATGAGCTCTTGACAGAGCTTAACTATCTTACTAGGCTTATCATGGGTGTATGCAAAGAGAGACCCAGGGAGCACTCCATGGTGGCGCAGTTGATATCAGGTGATCCCCTTGCAAACTCTCCCTGCAAGGATTATCCTAGAATCGACAAAGCCCGGTGTTTGCCGGGAAATCAAAAGGACACCGCATGTTTGGGTCGAATCGTCCAGACTGAAAACACAAAACAACGCAGCGGATGTTTCATGCCACCAGAAACTGCCGTCAAACCACAAACTGCTGTAGCAGTGCCAAAGCCAGGCGTCCAATCATTTCACAGTGGCATATTGGATTCTCTCCGGAATAGACCCAGGGACCAAATCAACGACCTCTACTACCACAGGGTACCAGTTCCCTTCTGGGAAAGGCACCTGGGGCAGTGGGCCTCAATTTGTGGTAGCGGAGCGGGTTTTCCGCAGAGATCCAAGGGAAGATGTCATCCGATGGAGAAGGCTTCATGGAAGCCTATTCAAGTATGGCCAAAAATCCAGGCTATACGGAGGAAACACTCAATTTATCGATGACCGCCAAGCAGCCGCCATCGTACGACGGAAAAGTCAGCTGGTTCAGGTATGAATGGACAATTGGGAACCCACCGAATCTCAAGATGCGACGCCGTCCAAAGCGGCATCCACCGAAAAGAAGGGATTCTGATTACAACAGAAAACACAATTTTGCGTGATCAAGTGCTGTTTAGCAGCCAGGAATCTCTGGGACCCCCAAGTCTGGGCCACAAATGGGTGTGTCTCAAAACTATGGGCCCTCTCCAGTTGCTCCCCCCCCAGTCACACCCCCCACCCTCGCATGGTGGGCTTAGCCGCTTGATCTCCTCATCAGCGTCGCGCGCCTCTAGGAGCTCGTAGTCCTGCGATGGACCTACCAAGGCCCTCAGAAGGGGGCCACTTCACCTAAACAACACCAATGAAACAGTTATCAGAAACCTTTTGAGGTTCAATCGTTTTCTTCTTCTTTTTTTCCGAGAAAAAAAAACCACCTTTTCTCCCCCCTTCTCTCCATTTCTGTCTGGATGGCCAGCAGAAGCCATGGCACAAGGAAAGAGAGCCGTGAGCCAAAGCGCCAGCGAAACGGCTGGGACTTCGAAACCAAAGAGCTCAGAATGACAGTCGCGAGGCAACTGACAGTCGCGATGCCTGACTCTCCGAACGAGTGGATTGGCCAGAAAAAGCCCAAACTTGCTGCTTGCTGCTTGCTGCTTTCCAGGGAGTTTAAAGTCCAAACTTGCCAGGCAAACGGTCTTTCCAAACACTTTAAAATCGATGAGATCAGGGAGTGAGCTGATCTTGGACGCAGTGGCCGTAATTGCAACAAATGCTGAGCAAAGACTCTCTACTTGTGTAATGCACTGTGCATTAAAAAAGAAAAGAACAAAAATACATACAAGAGTCTCTTCTTGCGTCTTCCGAATTCCAATGTGCATTTGTTTAAACAAAAAGAAAACAACCAACCACTTCGAGTGTGTATTACAAACAACAAGCACAAATGCCGTGTTTCCTGCGCAGAAGCAGTCGCTGAGTCCGCTCAGAAAGCTCCGTGGCTGCAGTGGGTGGGCGCTTTGCCAGTCGGGTCGCTTTGCCCGCGGACCGACAAGCCTCCTTTGTTTGGGGTAAATGGTTGTTTTCTTGGGGTCGCTTTCCCATTCCCAGACATCCTTCTTTTCAGAAAACCGCCAAACAACCCTAGGGAAACAGACGATTTTTGAAAAGAACGATGGTTGAAAAGAATGGGGAATCAACGCCTAGCATCTTCACTTCAGTGCGAAAAGTGATATTGTGCTCTATGTCTCTCTCTGTGTTGCTTCCCGTACACCCACATCGCATGGATTCCCAATTAAACTGCGAACCCCCGTAATAGACAAACACATAGAGTCTGAATGCGTGCCAAACAAGGATTCCCACATTCAAAGCTGACGAGACAAATCGGGGAGAATGACAACACATAAAGAATTTGAGGCGCTGAAAGAAGGAACAGGGACTCCCCTGCAATTTTACCCTGGTTCTTGGTCGTAGATGGGTCCTTCTTCTTAAAGATCCATTTGGGAACCAAAAATGAGGACCAAGGCCATGTCTCTTTGGTCATCGACCTAATCTTGGGCCTGGATTAATCAACCGTTCCCCTATGGCCCAAGCAAAGTTCAGGAACTTCTCTAAAATGGCACCCCAGTCAACCTGGGGGTTGATCTGTCCTCGGAAGTACAAGGCGCTACATGCGCAATTGTGCACATGAGTCTCTTCTGATCATGACTTAGTATTGGTCTTAAAGCCTACCACAACCCCATTCTGACAATTTCGGCACTTGTATTGCCCTTCTCAACATGAGAAGCCGCTTTCCATTCGCCTCGAGGATCTTGGGGAACGCGGAGGGTTCCTCCTCCTCATCTGGAGGCCCCTGCTCCACGTCTTGCCACAAGGCCTCCCGACTCCCCAACTCCCCGACTCCCGTGGCTCGTTGGAGGAACGATCCCAAGGATGCGATTCGCGAATCGGAGGACTGCTTGAGTCATACTCAAAACCCCGGGATTAAAATGGTCGTAATCCCAGAACCATGTAAAGAAGTAAGAAGGCGGAAGTCCTCAGCTATAGCAAGGGGATTGTCCCTTAACCTTCATCAATCCCCGGGTTTTGAGCCAGCTCACTTGGGAACTGATGGGCCATGTTTTTTTGGGGGGGAGGTTTCAACCCTTCAAGGGCGGGTAGAGAATGAATGCAAGGGCCATTTTGGCCCTCTGGAACGGTTCCCCCCCCAAAAAAACATCTGCCCTCCCAAACTGTTTGGTAAGCTTCCGGCTTCGAACCCACCACAAGGGCTTTCCACATTTGCTCGATGCGCTGACAGCATTGCCAAACATCCTCCCGGCCCCTCGAGCCCGAAAAAGAATCCGAAAACAACACGCTCCCGGCCCTCGAGCAAGGCATGTTTCCGGCGAGCCGGGGAGGAAAGAACAGTACAAGCTCCCGAGAATGTGAATTCAAACGATGCGAATTCAAACACGTGCAGATGGAACGCGGGCGTTTTGTGTCTGGAATCACTAGTTGCTCACTCACTTGCTTGGAGAGTTCAAAATTAGGAACCCAAACAAGAATGTGATTTGAAACAAAAAATCATGTCCCTTTCATGCCTGCAAAATTGGGCGGGTGTCCTTCCGGTGTCCCTTGCAAGCCCAACAAATGGTACCACACACTGCAGCGGCTGAAGCAAGCCGCTAGCTCTTCAATTGAACTGCCTGAAACACGAGATGATGCCGGTGTCCCAGCAAATTCTCTTCGTCGGACTTGATGCCAGCCTGGCCGCAAAACATCCAACTCTCTCTCCTTCTCCCGCTCTCTCTCTCTCTCGCTTAACTCTCTCCCACTCCCGCTCTCTCTCCCTCTCCCTTCTGGCTACCGGGGCAGCGATCTCGCTTCTGCCCTGGCGAATGTCAGCGATGTGACCCCGAGTCAATTTGCCACGGGTAGACGGCAAACCACATGTGCGAATTTGCGATGTGGAGGAACATTTTTACTGGGGGCAAAGTGAGCAAGAAGCTCAGTGCAAGTGAAGGCTGGAGCCGGCATGTTGCTTTTGTCGTGCAACAAATAAAACAACATGGCCCAAAAGTGCGGCCCATGACTTTCCCTTTTGCAGAAAACCCACAGGTCCCATCCCGTTTGGGACCCGTTGAGACTTGTCACCCAACGGGTCCCAGAAAACCATCTGCCCATGGCCACCCAACAAAAAGGCCCCCCGATCAGCCCCGATGTCCCAGAGGCGCCTTGGCGGGACTTTCGGAGCCTCGTTCAAAAGCTGAAGGAAGCCAAAAAACAAACAAACACGCCAAGAACCTGGAAAGAAGGATCAACAGAAAGTGGCGCCTGGGAGGTACTAGAAGGCAAGTACTTTTCCAATCTTGCATGTCAACTTGTTATCTCCAAAACAACACAGAGCCGTCAACTTTTGCTGGGGATGGAGTGATCGGCCGGTGGGTTCTTGAAGGCGTACAAGAATGGGGCTTTGGCCCGTCATGGCACGACACAGTGGCAACTTTTGATGCAACTTGGCGCTGAACGAGCTTGTTCCTCATCCGCAAAGAAAACACCATTTTGAAAGTGAGTGAACTGCCTGCAATGACTGTCCAAGACTGTTTCTGCCCAAAAAGAAACAACAAGTCGTGGATAGGCGGAGCACCTTGGACCCAGCAAGGGGAACTGCCAAAACGGGGAGTCTCCACCAGGCCGCGGCATGGGCTATGAGTTTGCTGGAGCTACCAGGTTTTGAGCGCCTGGCCCGGCCGCAGAAGCTCCTCCTGTCGCCGGACAAAACAGCACCGTTCTAGGGCTATAGCTTCCATTTCCATTCTCTTGGTTGACGTTGGAAGGGGAGCAACAATTCTCAAATTTTAGCAGTGAAGTGGTTGGATTTCAACCAAATGTTGCCCAACAGCAACCATGTTCTTTTCAGGGATCCTTCTTTCTAGACCATCTGAAGCAACCCAGTGAAAACGACTGGTTTCTTTTGAAACGAACGATGGTCGAAAAGAATGGTTGGAATCGACTCCTGTCGCTTCTGGAAGACCTGTTTGGCCAAAGAATCCTCCGCGAAGTGCTCTGAATCCACGGTGCTCTTGCTTCAAAAGGGGGAAGCTCTAACTGAGTCGCACAGAGGAATCAACATAGGTACTGGACATGGGAAAACATTCGCGAGCCCCTTTTTTGGTATATGCCCCCTTAAAACCTCCCATTTGACAGAGGTGCCCTTCGGTCAATTGTGTATTCTTTATCGATTGAACAAGGAATCTTCAGGAACAACAGAGTCAAACTTGATCCCACAGTGGCAGGGCAGGTGCATAGGCGCGCTTTTCAGTCAGCTGCCGTAGGCCGCCAGTCATGCTATGTCAGTCCCGTGGAACTGAACTGCATTGTGAGACACAGAGCACATGTGTGAGACAAAACCCATATTTTACCACAGCGCAGGTCAAATCTTGATCTACACTGTACGATGCGGTTACGGTACTCAAGCCCTTGATTTGCCAGATGCTTGGTACGCCATACTTCCATCTGGAACAAAAACAAAAAACACATCCAGTAGAAATAGATTCCCTTTAAAACCAGCAAGACAAAATAAAGCATGTTCTTAAGCAAATGGATGCAAAGCGTTCACTTCCCCTGTGCCGGTTCTGCTTTGTAGCCCAGGCTGTAGAGTTTGGCGCCTTCCTGGTCCACCGTCGCCAGCACACTCTCCGAAACGTTCAGCTCGAGCATCTCCACCCGGGTAAGCTTCGCATCCCCGCGAGAAAGCTCCGACTTTCCGCCGCTGGCCAGCACGTTCGCTTCAAAATGGTCCGGCACGGGGTCCATGTGGTTCGAGCCATTGGGCCTTTCATAGATGACTGTCTGCTCATCTGAAAGAACCGCAAACTTGGTGCCGCAGTTCATGCCAAAGTCCTTGTCGTGGAGCTTGAAGGTTTCTAGGACCTTGAACTTCGCACCGCCCGGTTTGAGAAGAAACAGCTGTCCGTCATCCTTGTGGGCCAAGTAAGCCCTCCCAGTCTTCATGAAACGCATCCCCTCGGGGTTCATGCTATGAGTATAATCAGAAGCCCCCTTGGGCGGACCCCACCACTTTCCACACTCTGACTTTGAGGAGATATCGTGGAATGCAGCACACCCGTTCGATAAAATCATCACGGTCTTGTCGTCCATCCAATGCAAGCCGACCTTGAACTTGTAATTGTCGTCGATCGGGCAAGTGTAGACTTCAGTGCCATCCACAGTCATCACAGCCACTTTCCGTCCACCATTCGAGGAACCCACAAGGATGTGTTTACCATCTGGACTGAAGCTCATCGTCGAGACACTGGTGGAATCGTTCGAGTAGGCGTTCATCTTGCTGGTCTCTGAGCCATCCGCCTTAAAGACACGCACTTCCTTGCCAACGCCGACCGCGTACATCTGCCCGTCAGCGCTGGCAGCGATGTGACCGCCACATGGATCAAACTTGCACACCATGGAGGACAACAGCTTCAGCTCCTTGCTCTTCACGTCATACACTTCCACCGAGACCTCTCAGGGTTAGATTCCAACAGAAACTCACCTACCAAAGGTGATGTGTACACCGAGCTACGGGTGTGTCGCTTTTTTTGGGACCCCCAGACATGGTGGGTTTTTGCTTCTTCTTAAAGCCAACCGAAAAAGGGTGCGAACATGTGGGACGTCCCTGCCTTGAGCGGTGGCTTGTACCAAGGGTCTTCCTCTCTGGTCGGAGGGTTCCTCACTTGGCCAGTGAGCCAAAAGAATACAGGGTCACACTTTTTGGGCGTCTAAAATAAAGGGAGAGCCACCAACGCCACCAACCCAGAGGGTGTCTTGGTACCCTCTAAGGAGGTACTTAGACCTCTGTTTACCCCCCAAAAGCCATCCTCACAAGATTCTTGGACCCTCTGGGCAAGAAAAAAACAAGTCCACTTGTTGGGCCACACTTCTTGGGCCACCCTTTTGAAAGAAGTGGTAAAGTGTGTCCACTGGGTGAGGTGCTCTTCCTCCACTTGCTCCTCCGAGATTAGGAGGCACTTCTCCTCGTTCAGCCACGCGATCTCCGTCACCTTCTCCTTCTCAAAGACCTGAAGGCTTCCAAACGCCCAGGTTGTGCAGAAAGGGCACCCATGTCTTGGCTGGTCTATTTGAATGTTTTTTGTGTTTTGGGCTGGTCTACTTGAAAGTCCTTTGTGGTTGGTCTATTTGAAAGGGTTGATTGTTTTTGCCTTTTTCTTGCTTTGAAAGGGTTTCATTTGCCTGGTTGGTCTGGTTGAACAGGACAAATGCTTGGCACCCAAAAACAACACACCGAGGGAACGCCTTCGCGAACTTCGCGGGATCCAACTTCTTGAGCGGCGGTGACACGGAAGAGCCACAGCCCATGTTTTCCCAGCTCGGGCGCGAGCGCGCGCAAACTTGGTCGGGAGCTCGAGTTGGAGCTGTTTGAGCCCGATTGATCAGCGCGCATCTGATTCTCGGCCACTGTTTTCAAGGCCAAACAAAGATCTGAGCAATGCGTCGGGAAGATCGGACTGTTGGACAAGCTCACTTTTGGGCATTCATCGATTGGTGACTCGATGGCGGAGCTGATGCGCCCGAGCAGTGTTGAGGATATTCCTGCTGCAAACACTCATAGTCACATCGCAAACAAAAAAAACAACACATCGGGTATCCTCGAACCAAAAACCACCCAACACATCGCCCGAGGTTCTTCCCCGAGCCTCTCGCTGCAAGCAGCGGGCAGCATAAGCGGCCTGGCGAGGCCAATTCGCTTGGGGCTCAAATTAGCATAGACCCCCACCCGAAAGGAAGGTACTTGTGGTGCTCCAACAGGAGATTCGTAGCCAATGGTTTTTGGGGTTGTCCACATCCGTTCTTTTGATTTCATACAGCACAATCGTGGAGCCCTGAGGCCAGGATAAGCCGAGGATAAGCCCTTCACAACTGGGCTGTCCTCAGATTCCCCGCTAAAAGTTTAACTTTTAGTGGGTGAAATGGAAGTCCCCACTAAACACTAAAAGGCTAACAGCTAGGGGGATGGCTGGGAGCCACCAAGATAAATCAACAAGGAGAAACACAGGGGGCAACCACACCTTACACCCGTTGGCACAGCGCCCTTTGTCTCTTGTGCTTGGGGCATGCAGAGGCAAATCGACTTGAGCAGAAGTGGAGATGGCAAATCAGACTTGTAAACATGAGGCAAAACCAGGCTATCATGGCAGGGGAGAACCTCAAGCCCGGTTTCGCCGTACGTGCAGGGGCATCGCAATTGGGAAGAGGGCGCCGCCGTGGAATACATCTGTGAGGGCCCATGGCTGCGAGAAAACGTGTCTTTTCACAGTTTTTTTCTCCATGAAGGCTGATTTTGTTCCAGGTTCAAAGAGCTATCTGGGGCCCATAACAGGACGGATCATGATTAAAGAAACAGAAGTCACAAGCCTCTGAACAGCCCTTCGGGAACAAGGGTCTATAATTGTCACGTCCGGATCAAGCCAGACTGTACCGATCAAAGGAACCCCCAAAATCGGAGCATTCTCCCAGCTATGTATCTGGCCAGAACAATCCTGAGAGTTCGTATCCTTGCCCTCCCAAACGTGCTGCCCAGCTGAGAAGGGAAAGATGACATGGGTCCATGGGTTCCAACACCAACGGGCTTCTTTCGGCTGCGGAAAAAACGACACATTCTTTGGTTCAGACGATTCGTTTTGGCCCCGGTCCCCCAGCGACGAAAACGCCAGCACCGAGGTGGTTGGGTTCCTTTTGACAAAATTCCGTTCAACCCGAGACAAAACAACCCCCCCGCTCCCGTCCTGCTACGCCCAAAATAAGCTCATGATCTGTGCCGCCAATTGGAACATCTCATGAAACACTTGCACTATTTGACCCGCCAAGAGGTGATCAATGCGCCCATTGGGCCAGATCCCGGGAGAAGCCCAAGCATGGATCTCAGACAGTCCACAGAGTACGCCAGGGGGCAAGCAAATGCACAACTTTGCAATAAACACCTGAAAGGAGGGTTCCCAAGAAAGGAGCTACATCATGGTGAAATCGGTTCACGCTCCTGTCCTGTCTGCAATTTTGGGGATGATGAAGCTAACTTTTCTGGAGGGGGAGGGGTCCATCTACTTTCACCCATTTTCTTGGTGCTTGAAACTGTGCAGAACACCTCCCCCACAGCCTCCCCAAAGTTTCCATGTTCTTGTCCTTCTGGGTCCTTTTCGGAACGAATGGACCTTTACCACCAGGAAGTGTTGCCCACATTTGGGTCTGAACTTTCATGGGGGATATTTTGGGGTCAAAAAAAGAAAGGGGCTGATTTCTGTCCACCCACTCTTCAGGGGCCTAGATAGCCAAGCTGCTGTATTTTCAGTCACTGTGGCGATCGGTTTTTGGGGCAAAGTGCATGGGAAAAACGGGGGGGGGGGGGGGGCAGGGGAAAAAAACAAAAACCGCAACTGGCGACCCAGGAGTTTTCAGTTTGCTTGGACTTCCACTGCCACTGAAGTGGGTCTCCAGTTCCCTGGAAGGTCTGCTGGTCCCCGAAATCGGTCCGTTTCGCCCACCTCGGGCACCTGGCCGCAGCAGAGGCACTGCAGGGAGCCGCCCGGGCGGCTGGGGCAGAGCTCGGGCTGGGCGCCTCAGAAAGCCCGTGGCTGAAACCCCGGCTGAAATTTTGGGTACTCGGATTCCGGCTGAAACCAAACAACGCCCAGGGAGCCGGCGCTTTGCTTTTTTTGTAGGTGTGGTTTTAAGGGGTCCCCACCAAATGGCTGGTCTCCCGTTAAAGCCACACCTTTCCCCCCCCCCCTCGTCCGTTTTTGGGAGACTCAGAAAAGGGCAGCCCTACGCGTCCCAACAAGGCGACAAGCAGACACCCCTGTTTTGGCATGGCTTCCCTTTGGTCGCCCTTCAAGATCCCCTGGAAAAACAAGGAATGCAAAGGGCGAAATACATACGTCCTGCTATGGTCATGGCTGAAATCTTAGGTTTAACCCACCCCCCGTCCAGTGATTCTGGACAAATCCAATGGGTCACCCGGCCCATGTCCGTACGGGTTGGGCAACACCTATATGCTCTTTTTCCTTTAGCAGAAGCAGCTCTCTCAACCAGCTCCCTATTTATCAGGATCCACAATTCTGCAAACCGAATCATTGGTCCCTTTGGCCAAGCCTCCAACCGCCCCGAAACAACTTTCACGAGGCCCAGGCAGGTAGGGCAGAGGAAGCTGCGCTCGACTTCAGGCAGCTCCTGGCACCTAAGCAAAAGCTCGCACGAAGGACGCAAAAGGCTTCGTTTGCCAGGGAACCCTCATAAATGGGTAAGGCTCAAAAATGATAGAGCTGGGGATACGCGGGTTTTAGTCTTTGGTTCCATTTTCCAAGGTGCCGTTTTGGTACCGGTTTTTTGAGCCACAGCCAAATGGAAGCAAAGACTCAAAACCTGCGTAACCCTGTGGATGGACCAAACCCTGCACCACTTTGAACATGGGAACCCACTGTTTGTTGGTAGTTGCAGGGGACTCATCTTTCCAGGGTTTCTTAGGTGGTGCAGAATTTCGCAACCATCACAGTAGCTCTCCAATTTTCAGTTTTGAGCCACACCAGATGGGGTGCCGAAGAGGACTCGCCTACAACCCGCCTGTCAGCCTTGAGTCTTGAGAAGCTGGCATACCTCCATTTTGGCCAAGCAAAAGCAAACATCGATCGTGCTTTTTTGCTTGAGTCTGGTCTGGTCCACATGGCAACTTGAACATGCCTGATTTTCTTCGCCAGAGATCCCAAGGTGTCCTTTTGGACAAACCGATGGGCCCCCATTGGTATGATTACACCTCGGAAACCAGCCGAATCTTCTCAATCCAGCCGACCCAAGAAGAGACCTATGTGAAGCAGGCTTGCAATTTATTCGACAAAATGCCGTGCAACACGAAGACTGTGTGCAAAAGCACGAAGCCTTTCAAAGAGCTAGGCAGGCCGATCCCAGCGATCGCAATCCCGTAAACCGTCCGCGCGTGGCTTCGCTCTGACTGGAAGCGTCTATCAGAGGGTCCCTTGGGACCTCATATTTGAGGATTTGAAGAATCTATTGACGAGTCCCCGAACGAACCAAACCCAAAGCCGTAACTATGGGGTACTCTGCGGACCCTCTGGGTCGCGGCGAACGGGGTGCCTATGGGTTTACCTCCAAGCTCTGACTCTGGACATGGGAGCCCAGGAGTAAACAAACACCATTGGATCAAAATCAGTGGTCTACGAATTTCAGAGCTCCAAGCACTGTGAGTTGAATTCAGCCCAAACATGGTTGTTTTGGTGACTCCTGAAGTGGCTTCTACCCACCCTGTCCTTCCCAAGCGATCGATCGGACTTCTTTGAGCGGGATCGATCGCCTCGGACAGCGACAACTAAAACTCCACTCCGCCAACGCCTGGACGGCCGAAGCGGGGGGAAGCGGCGGGGGGGGGGGGGGCCTGGTCCTAGGACTTCGCGGGAAGAATCGATTGCCTGGGTAAACCAAAGGAATTCACCGGCGCACAAGAATGGGAACCCCAAAGAAAGCTTCATCACGCTTGTCTCCAAGTAGGCACTCCTTGAGGTAGCCTCTTCGTTTTTGTCGCTTTCCCTTTAATGCCAGCCAAAAGGCCATATACATACTGTCAACATAAAGGGACGGAACACATGGGCCAACAAAAGCCTTATTAGTACATGCCGCGCATGTCATCGCCTCCGTTTGCTTCAGGTTTCGCCAATCAATACAATAGATGTAACAACAAATCTAGACTGGGCAGCAACTCTGGCGAGATTCACCTTTTGCAGAGCCGGCCTCTAAACTCTAATTAGTGTCACCCGAGGCATTCTTTCAGATCCGGATTCCAGCTTCAGCGTGAATGCCGCCAAGTTATTCGCTACAAGCTCCTCAGATGCAGTCGTTTGCTTTTTCACTGGGCCCTCAGTATTCAACATTCCCGCTCAATCTTTGTCGGCGATCAATAAAGCCCGAAGTACCAGTTCGGTGTGGCCTTTAATGAGAGGAACCCTCGCTAAACGGGGGCGCCCTTACGGATGCTGGAGGTATTATTCACGGTCAACATCACCCATGACCACACGACTTTGACAAACACGAATTGCAAGCAACACGCAAAAACAGGGAAGCCTGCTCCTGGGATGCGTTTTGACAGGCTATCAAACACATTGTCTGCAAGTGTTAAAATCATGCGGAACCTGATTGACATTTTTTCGACAAATACCCCCCCCCCCCCCGGAGGTGACCAACTTGCCATCGCAAACACCCCCCCCTTCCCAACGCAAAGACATTGCTTTTCAGCATTCTTCTGGTTTCCCCTCAATGTATTCACCAACAAAAGGTCCTCTATGTCACATATGTCCATGTTCAGGGCAAGCCTACATGGGAGTATCAGTCTGTTCGTTTATCTGCGTGAATCACCAGCACCAAAGACTGTCAGTTACGGTCCTTGCTTCAATACAATGTCTTGGCAAACTGTTCAAAGGGCTCGCTCTCTAAGTCTCTAAGTCCCTGCCCAGCAAGACACCAGATCGAACTTTTCTTTGCACCCAATCTTCCCACTCCCACTGCCGCGCGCCTGGGCACGTGCTGAGGCAGGGCAGTAGCCTGCTGGGAAGTTCAGGTAGTCGATGGATAGAGCCTAGCTGGATATGGCCATGGGTCAAAGCCAGTACCCCCAGTGAACATCCAAATCCCCACTAAAACAGTTTCTAAAATGGGTGGTGAATTCACCTACCCCAAAATGGTACCACTGGTCTTGACCCACAGCCATATGGCTGTTTCTCAAATGAGTTCCGTGGAATGGCAGTTCCCTATTGGTTCTATCCGAAAGGAGGTCACCTTCTTAAGAAATCTCCATATCAGTCTCGTTTTGAGCGTTGCCTTTTTGGCCTTGGTCGTAAACATAAGACCGCAATGATGCCAGACATATCTCCTGCTTTGAGACACTGAATTGGCAAATAAACAAAATACGAGTCTGGTTTGCCAATGTGGCCATGGTCAAAATCCCGTACCCCCAGTGAACATCCCAATCCCCACCAAAATAGGTTCTAAAATGGGTGGTGAATTCACCTATCCCAAAGTGGGATCCCATTAGTTTTGACCCACAGCCATGTTCAATAAATGCACCAACATGTCACAATCCGTATCCTCCAAAACTGGCTCCTTGAAAACTCAACCGCGGCAGGCAGTGAGACCAACGCATGGAGGTAAGGAGGAAAACTGGTGGATTCAAGGGAAACCACTTGGATGGTACACCTGTTTGTTGGATGGATGGCACCCATTTCGGGTTGATTCAAGGGAAAGCAAACGGGAACCAGCCCATTAACTTCTATGCTGCAAAACAATAAATACAGAAGCGCATAAACGGGGTGGTACAGTCGGCACATTGACATTGCAATTCAGGGAAACAAGCAAAAACAAAGGAGCACACTCAAGCGACTCCAATCTCTTGCCGCAAGTTCCCTGCTCCCGCCTCTCCCTCTGCAATATCGCGAAGGGCTCTGTACGTTGACTTGCCTGCGCACGAGAGCTACCTTCCGCCCCTACTGCCCGATGGGAGAGTCCTCTTGCCCAGGCAAGTTGAGGCGCTCGAGAGAAGCAACAACAGCAGGAAGCCAGGGATCTGTAAGACCCCCATGAAAGAATCTTGCTTGGAGCCCAGCCAAATTATGGCCGTTGCGTCCCCATATTTGAGAGGAACCCTTTTCACGGTCGGAGCTTTGAATCCAGCGATGCCGAGGCCAGCAAAAACTCAAAATGTCTGGCATGTGTGGCAGTGTCATTTAGAGACTCTCGTGGGCCGTTAGCTTGTCTCCTCTCCGCGCTGTTTTGTGCAGACCTGAATTTAGTCAAAGAACATTTAGAAGGAAATTCTGAATTGAGCTGGCTTGCTCCCTCTTTGTCTCTCTCTGCCTCCCTCCCTCCCTCCCTCCCTCCCTCCCTCCCTCCCTCCCTCCCTCCCTCCCTCCTCCCTCCCTCCCTCCCTCCCTCCCTCCCTCCCTCCTCCCTCCCTCCCTCCCTCCCTCCCTCCCTCCCTCCCTCCCTCCCTCCCTCCCTCCCTCTCTAAGAATGCATGCACCCGCGCGTGATCTTTAAGACTAGATGCAGTGCGCGTGAAAAACCTACGAAAAAGCTGTAATGCGAGAGCTGGGGAATAGAAGCGCGCCAGAAACATGGCCCCGTATGTGAATTTGGACCTTGCACATGTGCGCAAACCACGCGACGTCGGTACAGACGCGGTCTCGGAGCGGGTTCGGAAGGGTCTCGGAGACGGGCCCATTGGCACTGCATGCCGCGCGCACTGCTTCGCAACCTTGAAACAGTGAACCCTCTGCGGACTACCGGTTGGTCGACCATCAAACCTTTTGCTCGCGCAACGACCTCAAACAACGTGCGTTTCTGTTCCTGTTTATAAAACATGTTTCAGCTTGCGCAAGCATCAGAAGGTGGAGCCTCTTCGGACTTTCGGTGTCTCGAGCTTCGAAAACTTCTGGCTTTCTGCCTGTTTCACTTTTGTGGGCTGGAGAGAGAAAGAGAGAGCGAGAAAGAACGAGAGAGAGAGAGAGAGACAGAAAAATGAGAAAGAGACAGAGAAAAAGAGAAAGAAAGAAAGAGAGAGAGAGAGAGAGAGAGAAAGACAGAAAAATGAGAAAGAGACAGAGAAAAAGAGAAAGAGAAAGAGAGAGAGAGAGAGAGAGAAAGAGAAGGAGAAGGAGAAAGAGAAGGACACAGACAAAGAAGTAGAAATAACAAGTGAGAGACAGAGACAACGGAAAAAGCAGATTGCTCCAAACTATACATCTTATTTGTTTTTGAAACTGTTGCTCCCCAGCTCCAGCGGCTCTATGATGTACTAGCGCAAGTAGAAGGCGAGTTGTGCCGAAGCATTCCGATTCCGTGCAGAATGACATGGTACTGCTCAATAACTCCATCCATTGCAATCATTGGCTGCCAAGAGGAGTCCCATTCGTTGAAGAAGCGCGCCTCCCAGCACAACGAAACCAACGATGTTAACCAGCAGGCTTTGCAGAACAGCCTACAAATCCAACCAACATGGTGTGGCCATAGAGGCAAGACCACATCTTGTGTGTCCGAGGCATGTGCAATTTATGTGCAATTTATAAGCAAATCGAGTTCGTCAAAGACTGTGTAGATTTGGTGGGGTGCAAACAGCCTCTATGGCCGAAGGTTGTGTCGAGCGTTGACCTCCTCTCGTTTGTTTTCGGGGCGGGGACAAGGTTTCCGGCTTCCTGATGTGCACTTCAGGGGAAAAACATACTTCAGGGGTAGGAAACAACACTTGGTGAAACGATCTATTTTGGCAGGATGCCCTCTAACTAGAACGGTCCTCCGGAGATATCCGACGTTACACATTCGGTCAACTTTGGCTCTCGCGAGCATCTTCTCTCAAGGGTCACACACCTCAGGCGCGGTGTGACTTTGCACACAGCCCAACATCGGGCGAGCCTTGGCTCGGCGTGACTTTGCACACCTAAGTCGCCGCCATGCTTTCTAGGTCCTCCAGTAGCGAGGTTCGAATAAGGGCACCAACTTTTTTTCTGTAGTCTGTTTTAGTAGGGGAATCCTTCCAACCAGAAAAGAAACGGTAAAAGGGCACTACTGGGGGACCTAGCTTTGCACCTGGACTTCCCTTTGGGCCTGACACGCCGCCAGCCGACGCGCTTTAGAGTTCGTGGGTCATCTTCTCCGAGATCTCTGGGCCGAGCGCTGCTTTCGCGAGCTCCTCTCACGGGTGCACGCCTGGGCTTCACTCAAAGCGATGGGCGAAAGCGGCGTTTGTGGGAGGAGCTGGGTAGGGAGCCCAACAGCTAAGAACATTGCGCGTGGTTAAACAAGGCTTCCAAGAGCATACGCGCACCACACCATGGACTAGGCATATCACCCCAACCATATGCTCGAGCCTTACGGCGCAAACAATGGATCCACACCTTTCATCCAATCGCCTCAATACCTGAGCGCAAGGTCTCATTGACCTTGTGCATCGCAGCATCCTGTGTCCCGATAGGAGATGGACAAAAGCCCTTGGTAGAGTTCACCCCACAAGATGTTGTTCATACTGTAGATGGTTGCGAAATCCACTTCGCACCACCTAAGAAACCATGGTTGGGACCAGTGTTTGTTGGTACTTGCAGGGAATCATGTCAGACACCAGGGTTTGTGCGAAATGGGATTTCGAAACCATCCACAATACAGAACATTTCAAAACAGAGACACACGCCCGTCTCACCAGGCTGGAGCCCTCAGGAAAACGCTCACTGCCTACTCCTTTGGTCCAGGGGACTTGCAGGACTCGAACCCGACTCGGAGATTCGCGTCAACTGGGCGGCGTTTTCAGATCACCTGCTAAAAGTCCATCACTTGTAGGGGGTTTTCGTCGGACAACCCCACTAAACCAATGAAAGAACCGGCGGTCCGATCTGATCCCCTGCTAAAAGCTTGGAACATGTGGGTTGAATTTGGACACCCCACCACTAAACCAAGGCAAAAACCGAAGGAACCGCACGGCTTGGACCTGCCAAGTAGAAACTCTTGCGGTCTGCAGCAGATGTAGATGTGGCGCCCCGCGTGGGCAATGACCAACACTGGGATGCGAGGAGGGTCGACAACTGAGACTCTGGTTGCTTGGTTGCTGTTGAGCTCCCTGCAAAAGGTTTCCCTTTTTGGGGGGTTTAGTGGAAAACCCTTTATTTTCCAAAAAGTTAAAGTCTATCAAGATCCAACCCAATAGCAGTTGAGGTTGCAGCCCACACGTCCGCCAATTCTAGCTGCCTCCATTTTTGCTAACACACGACCTATACCCCGCGGTAGAGCGATGGATGCAAACACCTCTCACAATTCATCATGGAAACTGCAAATGTCCCGACTGTAATTTCTCCACGAAAGGCTGTTGAGGTGTTCTTTTCTGGGGAGGCGGGGTTTCTGGAGCAATCCCTTGCTGCGAAAGTGAAAACGTTCACACCCATGACTTGTTCACTTAAATGGAGAATTCCATAGATCCGACCCTGCAAATTGACATGGACTCCAACAAATCCAGAGGAGTCTCCTCTTAGTCTATGTCTACAAAATTTGTCAAAAAGGGAAACAAAAGGACAGCTTTGGGCAGTTTTTGTACCAGGGGGTTGACTATTTGCTAGGCCGAGTTGCGCAAAAAGCTTCACCCCATCGCCTTGCTACTGGCATTGTTGGCAGCCTGGCTGGATGTCGGAACCAGGTGGGAACTCAATACTTTATTTTATTGTTTTCGAAAGGTGGACCCGCTCCACTGGAAGACAACCAAAAGGAAACAAGACAGGTCAGGGGTCTCCCCTACCTCCCCTTCTAAATGATTCAGATTCTTCAGGGGAAACACAAGCAAACAAGACAGAAGACTGGGGTCTCTCCTTGGAGAACACCAATGTAATGGGTATGGGTCAAATAGTGGACGCACACAAATGTGGTTCTCCTCTTGGTGTCCCTTCGAACCCAGGTGGCAGGGTACCCTCAAAGACACCCATATTGCAAGTGGTGCAACGAAGGAACACCTGTAACTTGCCAAGGGCGTTTCAGTTGGATGCATCCGGTTCACTTGCAAAATTGTATGGTAGCTAAGTTGATACTCTGGCAGCCCCTCGTGGTTTCCCTCAAGGGAAACCAGCTTAAATGTAAGTTGCTTCACCCCAGTGCCAGTTCCTTGTTCGCTGACTTAGTGGCAACTCATCGGCTCAGAATGCGGCTTTCAGGGTTCCGATTCAGTTTGAGATCACATCCTTCCATTCGCATCTGATTAGATTCGGGTCGCTCCTATGGACATGCTAACATGTGAAGAAACAGCTGCCATGGCATATGAGGCCGCGTCTGGAGAAGAAACATCGACCAGGTTTTCCTTTAAACATCACCCATTCCTTTTACTTGAACGAGAGCCCAACAAAATGCAAGCACCCGCAACAAGCCCATTTTAAACTCTCTTTGGCGCTTTTGTGATTAACTCCCCCCAAACACAACAACTAGGTCCTCCAGTAGAGAGGTTAGAATAAGGGTACCCTGTTTCTGTAGTCTATCTTAGTAGGGGAATCGGAATCCTCCCTCAAAAAAGGGTAAATGGGCACCTAGCTGGGGGACCTAGACAAACAAACACGAGTCGCTTGGTTGGGCTGTTTGGTTTGGGCCAAAACAACTCTTCAGCAACTTGGCCCACCTGCTCCATGGCGAGGTTCATGCCGTGACAGGAAGTGGACCTCGAAAAGGAAGGCTTGGAAACCCAGAGAAGGGAAACCACACATTCTTTCCTTACCCCCAATTGGGTGTGGCTATGTGTGGGTCCAAAAAAAAGAAACGTGCCCATAATGGCTTGCCTGGATGGAGACATGCGCGAAAATCTTCGGTCCATTCGTGGCTTAATTTGTTCAACTTATCCCCAATTGAATTGGCGGCTGGTGGTTAGGTTTGCAAAGGAATGTTCGGTTCAACTCCGACCAGGGGGTCTTTTTGCCACCTTTGTGTGAGAAAATGGGCGACCCCCTCCACTACAAGGGGGTCGATCATTTTTCCACCAAAGGGCAAAAAGACCCCCCTGTCAACTCCCCCCCAATCCAAGCCACACCAACTGCGGCTTGCCTGAAACCGCTCGCGAAAGCTTCGTCGGATTCATCTGCCGGTTAACAAATGGAAGGTTCTCAGCTGTTCAGTGACCCTGGAAAAAAAAGGGAACCCTTTTTGGGGCTTGGACCATTTTTAGTGGCGCGGCCACCAAAAAAAAAGGGGAAAATAATCGGTGCCACTGAACAACTGAGGGTTAGGACAAAAAACAACGCAGCAAGCTGAGACATGAAATCCACCACCGCTCGAGGCCAGCATTTCACAAGAAATCACAATGTGCCCCAGGACAAGCGCCCCTCGGTGTAGCCTTGGTTCCCTTTTACCCCAAAACTCAGCAAACAAGCGCAATTTGTGGTTGCGGCACGTTTTTCAGGGCACGTTGCTTTCCGAGATGGCTGGACTTTACCTACTAGCTAGTGGGCAAGCAAAGACAGTGAGGATCACGGTTTGTCGGTTCTGCTCCCAACTGCAACGCTTTGGCTTGTGCCATGGACTGGCCCCATGATCTTACCATTGTCAAAGTCATTCAGTGGTAGATTGCAGGGAACTCTCAAATGCCCAGTGGCCGCGGGAAAAAAGGGGCGTCCTTTTTTCGTTGGTGGACTCTGAAGGGGCACCCTTCCGCAAAAAAGTAAAAAACAAAAAGACGGAATCCACTGGGCAACAGAGAACTAGCCCCATGTTCTGAGTTTGATAACCCCGGAAAGCAGTCGACATCCCGAGCTCAGACTAAGGCAACGACTTGATAGCACCCATCTTCATCCCCACCTCCATATCCGCGTCCACTGCCATCTGGTACCTGGTTTGACAGATGCCAGGTGTCCTGCAAGGAGGGTCGACTTCTGAGCCCTGTGTTCCTTCACCAGGGCCGTTCGATCCAATATCATCCTTATGAGGTGATAGAGTAAGGCAAAGCAAACCCCAAGCAAGCAATCAGCCGCCCAAATTGCTAAGCACGCAAGCCAAAGTGTCCAAACCAGCTTGTGATGTGCTACCAAAAAAACGTTGGCTTGTGTCCAGTGCGTAAGCTGCGGTTCAAGGACCTTGTAAAGCTACTCTTTTGGCTCAGAGGGCACTCCCTCTGCTTCAGCCGCTCTGCCAGATCTCTGCGGGCAGCCAAGGCATCCTTGAGACACTCGGGGCTAAAAACACGGGGCTAGGATCCGGGCAAAGTGGCATCCTGTGCTTTCCTCTCCATGATTGAAAGGGAAACAACCCCCCACATAAAGCAAACACATTGAGCGAACAAAAATGCGGGACCGGGTAGCGGGGATGCAGGCAAATTCCTCTGGCGGATGCATGACCAAGTTCTTCCCATTCCCCAGGCCCTTCTCCGTCCCATGGCCGTTTCAGGGCAAAAGCACAAGAGTTGCCGACTGCCCTTTTGCAAGCTTGGTACATAGATCATCGAGCAGAACACACCTGCTATGATGATCGGATCAGAACAGTTGCAACTTCAAGTTGTTGCCCCTGCGAGCATTCCTGAGAGTGCGGCGGTGTCAAGGAGCATATCTTTGCTTTGCTTCACCTCGGTGCAGCAAGCCAGCAAATGGAAAATGCCTGGCTGTACAGCATGGCGTCCCAAGTCGAGTCGCATTCAACATCGGTGTCGAAAGGGTCTAGGCAAAGCCATGTAACGAAATCTTTACTTACCCAGCTTTATTGCGGCTCAAGCCTCGCCACCAACCAAACATATGTTGACATCGCCGTGATGCCTGAGGAATCATTCGCATAGACTTGCGAAAGTTCAGAAAGAACAAACAGGGTCTTGCCAACACAATGTTCGTGTTCGAAGTGAGGCCCATGTCCATCCGAATGTGTTTTGTGCTTTTACATTTGACATGCCACCAAGAAACCTACTCTGGGAGGGCAAGGGAACCAAGCAAACCAGCAAGCCAGCAAGCCAGCAAGGCAGCAAGCCAGCAAGCAAGCAAGCAAGCAAGCAAGCAAGCAAGCAAGCAAGCAAGCAAGCAAGCAAGCAAGCAAGCAAGCAAGCAGGCAAGGCAAGGCAAATCAAATCAAATCAAATCAAATCAAATCAAATCAAATCAAAGCATGAAAGCATGCAAGAAAGTGCACACACACACACACACACACTCAGACACCCACCCTACACACCCACCCACCCGCCCGCCCACACGCACACGCATACGCAAGCCAACCATCCGCTCACCCAGCAAACTAGCAGCCATCTCAAACTGAGCGCGGCATTCAACAAATCTGACGCCAAGGAGCTCTCAGGGAGGTGAACCAGCAGGTGGCCTGCAACTCTTCCGCTTCTAGCTGAGCCACTTTCCGCTCCTTTTTTTTTGGGCTTCGGGGGCGTGCGACAACTTTGATAAAACAAGAAGCTCCCCCACAAAGCTCCGCATGCCGCATCCGAAAAAAATCCTCGGACCCATGGCCTGCGTGTCCGTGTTGTAGATGAAGAGCGCACCGAAGCCCATGCAGCTGGGATCCCTGAAGGGCCTCAAGACCCCGCTTCAAGGCGCTGGATTTGCCATGCGCCTCACCCGTGCTTCTCTGCAAGCCCCGTGAAACCACGGAAACCGCCACTGGCCCGTTTTTTTCGCGCTTTTTCTCCTTGTTTTCTCTTCCCTTTTTTCTGGCTCCGGTATCGTGATTCATGAACCCCAGTACAAGGCAAACCCTTGGGATGATCTCATGCATGAAGTTTGACAATATGCGAATCCCTTCCTTCGCTCGAAACACACACGCGCATGGGACAGCAGTGTTGCTTGGTGTGATATGTGTCAGTCTGTGCGTGTGCTCACCTGACCTCGCATACTTGGCAACACGGATGCGCCTCCAAAAGGGGAAACCCTACAGAGATGATTTCACTTGGCTTCCCCTTCATCACAACCCCGACAAGGACCTGTCACATATACGTGGCCGAACCCGGCCAAAATCACTTGCACCCATGCACAAAGGCATGCCGGGCCATGCAAGAGACTGTATTCATAGTAAGCATGTCAAACGTATCTCTCGGGGCGACGTCCCCATTCTTTGTCTGGATCCTTCTTGCCAGAAAACCACCAAAACCTCATGGAAAACAGTGTCCTGTGAAATAAAAGGAGAAATGTTGAAAAGAGTGGGGCAACAACACCGAGAGCATCGAATGCGACGCTTGAATCCGGGAAGCATTCAACGCGGGCAATGCTTCTCCACTCGCCCAAGGTTGGAAGCACTTCTCCTTCGTGGCCTTTCCATGAAGCAATCTTCCAACACGGTTGCGTATCAAATTACAGAGGGCAGTCCTTCAGTTGCTTTCACGGGACACCCTTTTGGGAATTCACTTTTGTGTTCGATATTTCCCATTTTGAGGCCCCACCCGGCTCCGGCTGTCTGAATCCAGCTCAGCGGCACAGTCTGAATGGCAGGCGCATAGCCCTTGCCTCGCGCTCGCGAGTGCGACTGAGCTTTTGGCGCTTCACTCGGGGGTTCAGAGCGACTCTTCACTCGGGATGTGGAGCGACTCGTTAAACAGGCCACCGGCTCTCGACTTGGCCTGTTGTGAGCTTTTTCTTCCAAGATGCTCGGTTTTTTGTCTCCATTCTTTTCAGCCATCGTTCTTTTCAAAAACCGATCGCCATTTCCCAAGGGTTGTTGGTGGTCTTCTAGAAAGAAGGATCCCTGGAAAGAATGGGGAAGTTACCCCCAGAAAGAAGCTGGTTACGAACACCTTCAGTGGGGCGCAGCTGATCCATGTGTGGCTTGAAGCTGGGCTTGGGATGTTGCTCGGGCTGAAGGAAAAACCAACAGCACGGCACCCGGTTCCACTCATGTTGGAAAATGCCCCAAAGACGAAGACCGGGACCGATAAGGCGCCAAACGTCAGGCAGAAACCCTATCTTGGAAAAGGCGCGCTTTGCCACCAGCGATTCGACCATGCAATCCGGAGGTGTCTCCATTAAAAGCAGCCAACTGACATTGAAACATGAAGACGCCGTAAGCAGCATGCCTTTCATGGTGGGAAGGTGCTCAATGGGACCTCTTATTAGAGTGCCCCTGTTTGTGGAGCACCCACCAGTTGCCCAGTGACCCTAATAGAAGAAAAAACAACTTATTGGGAGTCATGCTTTTAGTTGCGAACACACCCAACCAAAAGGACAAAGTCACACATAACTGACCCGAGCAAGTCGCTGATTTGGGTACTCTACGACTTGCACAAGGAAACCAACCAACTGGAAGGGGTCCCACATTCTTGGAAACAAATCTAAGGGTTGATTCCCCATTCTTTTCAACCATTGTTCTTTTCAGAAACCGGCTGTTTTCCTGGGTTTCCGGAGGTTTTCTAGAAAGAAAGATCCCTGTAAAGAATGGAAATGGAAGCTACCCCTAGAAAACAACCATTTACCCCAAACAAAGGAGGCTCGTCGGTCTCGTCAGTCCGGCCTCGTGTATCCACTTGTGCCACCACCACTTTGTCCGTCCAGTCGATCTGCATGAGCACCTGTGCTCGAAGAAAGCTGGCAGGAGGTGATAGGAACAGTTGCGGATGGCTTCCCTTTGCTGGGCTGTCCGTTTTCAGATCCCTCTCTAAAAGTGACTAACTTTTAGTGGGTTAAATGGAATCCCCACTAAACACTAAAAGGCTAAACTGGGACCCACCAAGTTTGGTGAAAAACGTCCAGAAAAGGCTTACAGTAGCACCCAGTTCCAAGATGAAACTGGATTTCCCTGGAGTTTCTCATTGAAACAACCTCAAAAAGGAGTACCATCCGGCTCCAGTTCTTTTTGGACGGGGTTTTGTTGGGTGTCTCATTTTAAAAACAAGCGGGGCGCCATCACACAAAAACAAAAACAAAACATGGCCTTGGACGCCCCTGATCAGACAAAGGACCCAGCACAATAACATCCATGGTATAAGAGTCTCTTTCTCGTCGGACCGCGCCCCTGCTCCAATTCACTGGACTGGGTTGAATCTCATTCTAGTGCCGATCTTTCCACCATTCCCTCGCAGCAGCTGACAGGCGCACTTTCCAATCAGCAAACTGCACCATCTGTGGCTTCGAAGGAAACTACACGCACTCCTGTTGAAGGGATCCTTTCTGGCTTTCATGCGGTAAATTTGCAGCACATCTGCTCGTAACTTGGCCAACAACCACCCGATATTCGTCCGCAAGCTACATCTGGCGGATATGACTCGATCCCGACCTTGTTCCACTTGTCATTCTGAATCTTGCCGTCGTTGCTGATTCTGACCTCTTGCTGGCTGCGCCACAAAAAAAAAAAAAAAACACGTAAAAAGAGGCTTCCCCTTTTTCACAAGAGAGGAGTACACTGTGGGCCCTAGTGTTCACATGAAAAGGTTGTTTTTGCAGACGTGGGTGCAAAAACCCAGGGCCCAGGACGTACCCTTCTGCTTCACAAAGGGTTCCAAGCCCCCAACTCATGCAAAGGCAAATGACCATTTACCCACTTGGGTAGCGAGAGATTTCCTTCTGCCCCGCGCAGTTTCGAAACTCAGCCCCCTTTCCCTCTCTCCTCACTTTTCTGGCTACCTTGGCCTCACCTTCGATTGTTCGCAACAATCATGCACCATGATTCCAGAAACCCGCCAAGCAGCTGCCAACCAAACTCAAAGTGTCCTTCCCAACAAGCACCCGAACCAACACCCCGCTTGTGAGAATCTTGTGCCTGTATCCAAACCAGCCGCAAATTTCTTCGCGAACTTCGCCCAACCCCCCCCCCACCCCAAACCGCCTCGTTCTCCTTGGGACCCACCCCTGGGGTAGGTGAGCCCCTCCGTTTCCCATGCCTCGACTCGTTTTCGTCTTGGGGACCACACGAGGTTACCTCCACCGCCGCAGAGCTGCATACCTCCCCGCACCTGAGCGGCGCATGCACGGCCCCTGGGCATAGGTATGGCCCTGGTAGAAGATGAAATCACCAGGGAAGCCAGGAATTGCCATCGATTTTTTGACCACGAGCAGCAAGGACCCCTATGCTCCTGGGGCTTCCAATGGAAGACCCGACCCCTCCTTCCGTAGACACCCCCCCCGGTGTTGGGGATGACAAAACCTGGCGGTTTGAGGGCCCGAACTACATCGGGAGCCTCTGAGCAGCCCAAAAGCTGCTTTTGAGTCTCCAGATCTCGTGAACCTAACTGAACAGTGACTTTGGGCTTGATGAATGAATCCGTGAAAACCACTCACTTCAAGGCCAAGGTCCAAACGTTATGTTCTGCTCAAAGATCCAGGTCCTCTGCCCCGATTTTTTGGGGCTTCAAGGTTACTCTGTTCCAAGCCCCCCGGAAAGAGGGCCTTAGGGAAATGCAGTGCGAACATGTCATAGCCGCCTTCCCCGGCCCTCCCCCCCCCCGCTTTCGGACTCAAAAAGGAGACCAAGGAGGTGGAATTTCGTTTTTGGTCCTTCCCACCAGATCTGCACCTCCACGTTTTGCAGTGATGCGCGCGCGACAGGAAGCTGTTTGAGGCATGGTCGAAGATCGCTCCATGCCCTACGTCAACCACAAATCATGGACTCCATGAGGCCAGCGCCTTTGAGCACCATGTAACATACCCCCGCGAACATGCGGGCGAGAACAAACGCACTGCAGGTCCGCACGGAACCAAAGCAACGCAAGCTCAACCTCAAGAAAAGTAATTCAAACGGCAAAGCCATCTGCCATTGTTGGTGAATATGGTCAACACCTGAAAACAAAAAGAAAAACAACAAGTTCAGGACCTACATCAGAGTGAGCTTGTTTTACCTCTAGGCAAGCGTGCAACTAAACAAAACCAACAAAACACCGCACGTTAAGAACCGTGATTCCGTCCTGGGCCCGGCACGGTGAATTGCAGGCCCACCGTGCAATCCGGCAGGGCGCCCTCGGCGCCGCTTTGCGCCGCTTTGGTTTGGTGCCGCGCCGCTTGGGAGAAGCTGTGGAATTCTAGGAGTACCTTCCCCATTCTTCCCAGGGATCCGGAGCTTTCTAGAACACCTCCGGAATTTTGGGGAAAACGGATCCGGTTTTTGGACAGAACCATGGTTGAAAAGGATGGAAAAGGAATCAACCCCTAGAGGAATGGATTCAGGGTACCTACGGAAAGACCTCACTTCCGTGGGCCAAAACAAGTCTGAACTTGTGATGTACCAAAATGGCCAAGCAAGCAACCAAAAAGGATGTTTTAGTCCAACAAAGTGAGGGGCTTCCACAAAAATCCAAACGGGCAAGGACTTGGGGTCTCCCAAATCGTGGCTCAAAATCGGCTGGGATCCTGGCAAACCAGGGGACCTGCTGTACCTCCGACCATCCTCTTGCGACAAAAGCTCCACTTCCATGATACTGTGGATGGACGAAATCCACTTCGCACCACTCTGAAACCATGGGAAACCATTTGTCTTTGGTATTTACAGGGGAATCATCCTTCCAGGGCTTCTTAGGTGGTGCAGGAGTTTGTCCATCCACACTTTTTTGATGGGGGTTGCTATTTAAAGGTTCACCACATAGGCGTCGTTTTTGGGGGACCCGCCTCGGGTTGGTTCACTTCGGTTCCAAGTCAATTTCCAGTAACCAGGTAAGGTCCTGTTCATGCCCCCAAAATTGTGGTCTCCCTTTTGGTGTCACTTTGAACCACCCCCTAAAATGGCTACCCTGCAACCCTCACCCAGAGGGTCCCTTGGGGCCTCATATTTGAGGATTTGAAGAATCTGTAATTGACGAATCCCCTTAAACCAAACCCAAAGCCGCAACTATGGAGTACTTAGGACCCGCTGGGTCAGCAAAGCAAGACACACCCACACCCGACCGCCTGAAAAAACAAAACAAACTTGGGAACGCGGGGAATTCTGCACCTCGAAGGGCTTCTCCGTGAAGACCACGCAGGCGTTGGGCATGTCCACCTCTCAACTGAAAGGACAAAAACTGAGACCCGGTATTAGAATAGTCGACCCAGAACCATGTAAAGAATTAAGGAGGCGGCCGCAGCTATTTATGGTTGGCATTGTCCTTACTATCCTTCACCTGCCCGGGTTTTGATTGTGGTTCAACAGAGAAAATGGGTGGCTCGCTGCATCGCTTGGGAGCGGGCTACTAGTCCCACGTACATGACACAAACGCAGCCTAATGGGCGGCTCCCTCTTGGTTTCATCTGGATTTGCTTTTTCCTGTTGTTTTCTCTTGGGTTTTCTGCTGGGTTGCCACAAATGGGTGGCTTCCTAGCACCCTCCGACTCTTCCCCCCTGTCCAAAGAGCCAAGTCCAAAGGCAGTTGGAGGGGTGCTGGTTGGTTTGATCTCCCTTTGCTTTCGGCTTCTTTGACTTCCCTTTGGGTTTTGCTCTGGCAAACACATGCCACGAGAAACTGAAGGGGGAAGAGCGAACTACATCACCTGCAAGTGAGATCCAAAAGGCGGACAGCTGCCTAATTGCCCCAGAGAGGAAAATTACAAGGAGCACCCTGCCCATTTCATCCCCACAGGCTTGTCATGAAAGAGTGGTCTTGAGAAGATGCTCTGGCAGGGCGGCTCCCCCGCACGTTTTTGAGCCGGATTTTTTGAGCCGGAATCGTTCTCTTGAAATCTGGTCATGCGGCCTCCTGCCGTGTTTGAGCCGGAATGGTCATTTGGAGATGGCAAGAGGTTCGACTTGCAACCAAGAGCCTTGAAAGCAAAAGCAGCATGTCGCCATAATATGATATGGCAGGGGCACAACTGGGCTAGCGGTGAAATGGTTGGATCAAAGTGAGCTGAGGCTCGATTGATCTCTCTGTCTCTCTTTCATTCTCATTCTCGTTCTCATTGTCTCCCTCTCTCTCTCTCTCTCTCTCTATTTTCGGGGGATCCCCCTCCAACCGCTGCAACTTCTTGCCGGGTTCCAACCACGTTCAGAGGTACTGACGAAATCCTTCCATTTGGTTAAGACCCCTGGAAATAAAAAAACATATTCCAGTAGCGAAATCGACTCCCTTCAAAACCCACCGGGGAAAATAAAATAAACAAACACAAATTATCTTCAGCCAATAGAAGCCGGCCGGGACCCGGGGACCTCCCCCCAGCCCCGTTTTGGGGGACTCGGAAAGGGGAAACTCGAGACGCATCCCTCAGACTCGTCGTCTCCTCCCGTGAGCGAGGAGGATCCAACCCTCGCCTTGCCGTTCATGGTGAACTCGAACTCCACCTGGCGCCAGCTACCCAGCTACCCGCGGCGGTCCCCGGTGGGAAAACCGGCGAAAAGCAAAAGGGGGTCGGATTGATGCCCCTTTTTGAGGAGGTCCCCTTTCGAAAAACCCGTGAAAAACAAGGGGGGGTAAAAAGCAAAAACAAAAACGCCAGAAACAAGGGGGGTCGGATTCCCCTGTTCGAGGAACGCCCTACATCCCCTCCAAAAGGGGAAAGCAAGGAAAGCACAATGTTTCCCCGGTGAAGGGAAACCCCTCTCTGGGGCACACTGGGAAAAAGCAACTTTCAGATTCGGTTTTCATATTAATATCTAGTCAGTCTTTCTTTTTATTTGAGGGCAGCCTTAGTAGATAAAGGGGACCACCAACACCATTTTGGGGGGTCCCCAATCCTTAAAAAAAGACGAGCGTCACCCATATGGCCATGGGTCAAAATCCCGTACCGCCAGTGAACATCCCAATCCCCACTAAAGTAAACTTCAATGGGTGGTGCACCTACCCCAAAATGTTACCATTGCTTTTGACCCACAGCCATATCGAGTGCCAACGAATTCCGGAAAAAAACCTCTTTCGCGCCTCGGTGGGTCTGATCAGCGGGCTGAAGCTCGTCCAAATCCCGGTGCATGGCGCATTGGTCGCCCCTGGCGAGCCACTCGTTTCCCTCACCGGAAGACGAAATCGACCACTGGGGGTTACTTTTGATTTTTCCTGTAAAGCAAGCCCAGAGGGTCCAAGGACCTCATATTTGAGGATTTGCAGGAAGCTGAAAGGTGACCCTCCAAAAGAAGACTCACCCGATTTTCCTCTGCGGGGGAGTGTCTGGGAATCTCCGAATGTTTCGTTGAACCCAAGAACAACAGCACAAATGTCCCGCTTCTTTTGTTTGTCCCCCGCCCTGTGGTGCTTCACATACGTTTGCGCAGCTTTCTTCGAGTAAGGGCCTATGCCGCTGCCGAAACAAACTGAAAGGTCCTCCCCTACCCCAACAAAAAAAGGCGATCGCCAAAAGACAAGTCCTCTGCACATATTGTCAATCCGGATCACAGACCGGTTCTTGCCCCAAACTTCCTTGCGTTAGACACACACACACACACAGAAAGTCCCTCTAAAAAATTGCCCATATAACCGATGATACATGTAACTATTTAGCAGGAGAGCGCCTGGACCATGGCAGCTTCCTTGGAATCAATCAATCGTGGTACACATCTGGCACTGGTCACTTGAGTGTGGCGTCCCGGTCAATACCTCCCTCTCATAATCTCCATCGCAAAACACCACGTGTCTCCGGTCGGAAGGGAAATGGTTCGTCTCGAATTTTTCGCCGGCCATTTCTCTCCGACTCTTCGTCTCCAGAAACTTTTCCAGATCAGGTGTACATCCTTCACAAAAAAGTGGGCTGAGTGCACTGGTGTGATGAATTCAGGACATGATGGCAACAGAACCATCTCCGACTCAGGATGTCAAATGGCCATGGGTGAAAATCCAAATTGTACCCCCAGTGAACATCAACCAATCCCCACTAAAATAGGTAACCTAAAATGGGTGGTGAATTCACCTACCAACCAAAATGGGATCCCAAAACGGTTTGGACAACCACGGCCAAATCGTGACGCCGTGACGCCCACGCCCAACCCAATCCCGAGCCTCCCATCAGCTGCAGGCAGCTCTTCGCATCCTGCGAAACCCGAAGCTGTCGCTGCTATGATACAGTGGATGGTTGCGAAATCCACTTCGCACCGTTCAGAAACCCCTGGTTTCTGAGGACTTTTGTTGAAAATACCAACGAACAAAGGTTTCAACCATGGATTCAAAGTGGTACGAAATGGATTTGGTGCATCCACAGTATGGATATACATCGCGCAATTTCTACTTCATGTGTATAATGCCAACGTCGGATTGATAACCTCCCGTGAGAAGGTTGAAAAGGCTTTAGCCTCCACCAATCAGATTCTGGAACTGATATAATTCGAGAGGTCTACTTTAGTATTGAGTTTGGGCAATACTACTTTAGAATTGGGCAATGCTACATTATAATTTGGCAATACTACTTTATACTTGGGCAATACTATTTCTTGAATTGGAATGACAATTCCAGAACTCCTAAAGTAATCCAAAAGGAGCTTCGGCCCATGTTTCCTTTGAGAGTGAAGCTTCCTTTTAAGATACTTATTTGAGTATGCAGCTGATGTAGTACTGTGGGATTTCACTTTCCAAGTGATCTTGCGGGAGACTCCTTATGAATTTAGTTTGAGCTTCCATTTATGTGATTTAGATTTGTTGGATTTGAGCTTCCATTTGATTTAGCATTGTTGGAGCAAGTGGGTGTGGCCCAGATGGCCCCAATTAAAACATGGGGACCCACATTATTAGTATGGGTTGGGCACTCATGTGGGGCCTTCTGAAACAAACACTCACCCTTTCGGGATTTAGGAAGGGTGATGTTTGTGCTGGCTTGGCACTGCAGTACGGTTGTGCTAGTACTAGCAGGCTCGCAGCTTCTTTTTGCTTGGGCATTCAAAGCAAATGGAAAGCAAAGACGATCAAGACGCGGGGTATATCAGTATGAGCATGGAACATGTTTCGCAACGTTCCGGTTACGATTGTCATCAAAAGTGTCCTGTGAAGGCGAAATAGATGGCCCTGGTAGATGATGAAACCACCAGCTCAACCAGGAATCGCCATCTATTTTCCACCAACACAACCAACACGGACACCTATGATTGTCATGCGTACCCTCTCCCCCCCCAATCCCTGGTTGCCTACTAGCGGTTTTTGTCGCGGTATTTGGCCTAGGTCCTCCAGATTTCAGAGGTTAGAATAAGTTGGTACCAACTTTTTTTCTGTCTGTTTGAGAGGAACCCTCACCAAAAAAGAGACGGGTGAGAATTCGGTCGGGCACCTGGATAGCTCGCCTTTGGGTCAGTAGAACCCGTCAGTCCTTGGGATTGGCCGGGTACTTCACCTGCGGGCTCGCGGGCTGAGCTTCAGGAGTTGACCAATTTTGGGGGAAGGGTCAAGCCAAAAGGTGTCCGTTCATGTGACCCTCCCACCCCCAAAAAAAAACAACAAAAAAGAAACATGGATGGATTTTCCTTTTGGTGTCCCTTTCAAACACACCCAAAAAGGGGGAACCCAAAACAGACACATACATGTTCCCGGCCGAGTGGCTGACAACGAAGGACTTGTCTCTTTCGCTTCGGCAAAGTTTAAAGGAACATCCGCCAACGAAAGGCAAATTTCCATTTGCTTAAGCCTCCTGGAAAATTCAAAACATATATCCAGTAGCGATTCACTTCTTTCAAACCAGCAGGTGAAAACACATATTCAGGCCATGGGTCAAAATCCAAATCGTACCCCCAGTGAACATCCCACTCCCCACTAAAATAGGTTCTAAAATGGGTGGTGAATTCACCAATTCCCCAAAATGGAATCCCAAAACGGTTTTGACCGCCACAGCCATTTCAGCCAAATGGAAGCAACTGAAGGCCCAATGGACATCCGTCTCACGAAAGTGTCTGAGGGCGCCGCAAGCTTGGCAGTGATCAAGCCCTTCCGGATCTCTTTCCCGTTCTCGTCCTGGGCAAAGAATTTCCGACCTGCGCCTGCATCAAGCCATTGGTTCAGGTACCAAACTTGGGTTCCAACCAGCTTCTCATTTCCTGAGTGGACTGGCATTTAACCCCATTTTGCCAATATTTCACCCTTCTTGCAGCTTGCCAACAGGCCTGTCTTGTGCAGCCGGGTACTTCAAGAAGAAGAACACACGCAGAACTGATTCCTGGCGTTCTTGTGTAAGCCAGGTAATTTTCTAGCAAAACAACCAAAAAGGACACCTGGGTAAGCACCTGGTTCCGCAAACCTGGTTCCTGTTGCCAAGAAAGACATGTTGTGGCCAGTCAACATGCGATTCTTGCCAAGTCCCCTGCCAGGAATCCTCCTCACTTTCAGCCAAACCGCTGGTTTCGTAAACCTCCGGAACCCACAATGAATGGGCGGCTTTTCGACCTGGAAAGCGTGCCCCCGCTGCCGCACGCAACAGGAGCCAGGGCACCAGGTTCCATGTCCGTCCACACCCGGAGTTGGTAGCGACATCAAAAATTGCCTCACTGAGCAAAAGGCAAGGGGCGACTTTTCAGCCCAGTTCCATCGGACATGGGCCAACCCTTGAAATACTTGGGCGTGTTGTGTTTCGAGACTACCCCTCGGTTAGTTTAAAGGAAGTCCGCCGACATTGCTCGGCGTGTCGGACACCTAACAAAAGGATAGAGGATACGTCTGACACGCAGGGTCCCGCACGTACTGCGCGGTAGCCGGTGTCGCAAAACAGGGGTCCCAGGCTCGAATCCCCTGTCGGCTCTTTGCTGGTTTGGGTTTCGTGCCTCCTTTTGCCGAAAATCTGGATAACTTTGTGTTTTTGGACGTCCTCTTTGCGAAAACGCTGGAAAAACCGTGCTTATTGCGGGAAATACTGGGGAGCAAAGGGGGAATGCAAGGAAGTGCAAGGAAATGAGGAGAGGAAATAGGAAGTCGACATGACAGGAAAGCAACGGGAAATGAAAGGGAAACAAAGGGGAACTGAAAGGGACATGAAAGGGACAGAAATGAAAACAAGGGGAGTGCAGGGGGAATGAAAGGGAAACAAAGCACAAGGAATCCAATCGGCACGACGGGAGATGTAGGGAAATGGCTCGCAACGAAAGAACGGGACATACATGGAAAATGAAGCGGACATACCGAGAAAATGACAGGGACATGAAGGGGGAGTTGAAAGGAATGGAAGGGACATGACCAGGACATCATGGGAAACGTGAAAAGGACATGAAGGGGAACTCAAGGGGTGAGCCAGTAGCGAGATGACAGTTCAGGGTCATGAAGGGGCAGTGCCCGGACATCGAGGCAACTCACAGAGGGAGAGAGAGAGAGAGAGAGACACAGAGAGCGAGAAAGAGAAAGAGAGAGAGAGACAGAGCCAGAGTCAGAGAGAGAGAGAGAGAGAGAGAGAGAGAGAGACAGAGAAAGAGAGAGAGGAAGAAGGACAAAAAGGGAGAGGACAATGTCGGCGGACTGAGCCGGAGGCTCTAAAGTTAAAGGAATGCAAAAGGAGAACCGAAACCATTTGGGGGGTCTCCAACCAAAAAAGAAAGCACATACCCATATGACAGAATAGGTCGTGATTTGTTTGGCCAAGACCAAGTTCAAAGGCCGTGTCTATTCTGACGCATTTGCTCCGGTCCTGGTCCGCTGGCCCCAGCGACCTCACAGGCGGTGGGTTCTTTTGGCGGGCATCGGAGTCCCAGGAAAGGGGTCCCCCGCATCGCTAAAGCCGAAAAACTTTCCGTGGGTTAAATGGAAACTACCAACAGCCACTAAAAGGCTAAAGGGCACTTAATCGGAGGGCCACCAAGGAATGATCAGGAAATCCGTGGCTGAAATAGGTTCTGGTTAGCATGCGGCTTCTATTTGTAGCTCTTGGGGTCCAAGTACCTCAGGAGGTACTTGGACCCTCTAAGGTAGCTATTGGTGCGTTGGGAAGGCCGCCCACAAACGGAAAAGAAGGAAGCACTGCCTGGTGTGCGGTTTGGAAGAAGAACCCCCCCCTTCAGCAGTGGCCCTGGGGTTCCCAGAAGAGGGTGTGAAATAGAGGTCCTGTAAAGAGCAGTACTGACCGAAGAAACCCTGTAAATTGCCACGAATATTGACAATGGTTTCCCATGCATTCGACGTGGTGCAGGATTTCGTCCATCCACAGTAAATCCCCTATTTGCACACGGTCATCTTTCCCTTAACGCACCAAATTTTTGAGGGAAGCCAATGCGACATTTGGAGGGGGGGGATCATTTCAGGCCAGCAAAAGGACACCTTCCTGCCTATTTAAGCCACACATCCCATATCTGCCCTTGCTGATGGGGATATTTGTCCATTGTGTGAGCCAGGCAGTCTTTAAACCGGACGTGTGCCTCTCCACCTCGCGCCAGATGGTTGGAAACGTGCCAAAGGCAATACAGCCCTCGTTGAAGCAGCCACTAAGGGTATGCGCACGGTTGGACGACGCTTGGCTGCGCTGGCAGATGGCAACCACTCGGTTGCTGTCAGGGCAACCTATAATGGAACTTTTGTCGTTAGCACCTTGCCTTACGTTGCTTCTCTCCACCCTCCGCTTGCCAACGCAAAGGATCTAGTCATAATATGTGTTAGGCCTTTTTCTTCAAATGGCATAATGTACCATTGCTGGCTTGAGTTTTGTCACCAGTGGGGCTGCGCTTCAGGCAGAGCCCTTGGTTGAAGTGGCGGATTCTTGGATGATATTGAGTCAGCGTCAAAATTACTTGTCTGGGGTGTATTCCTTCCGACGTTAGGACGTCCCGTATCGCTTTCCAAGCGTTGCTCAGAAGTTTTTGGGCATCGTGTTGTTGGACGTCCCGTATCTTTTCTTGTTTTTTTCCTCTTTCCTCCCCCTTCTCAAAAAAAACAAGAAAAAACCAAAAACGAAACAACATGTGCATGAGACACTCCTACATAAAGTGACGGTATAACATGTTGAAGCCAACTGATATAGCGTCACTCAGCAACTCTGCAACAGTGCCAGGTCAAAAGATCGGTCAGTGGGGACTTTTGGTGCAACCAATACAGGTAGCACGCATATTTGACCAAGAAACAGAGACATGACAACATGTCACACTACTATGAGTAGTAGAACCCACCACATCGGAACACGAGCTTGACAAGACCGAATACACTACTGAACAAACACATAGATCATGGAATCAACGACAAACTATCCAGCTAATAAACTAATCGAGCAGACACGCAAACTACATGCATAGTCAATTCACAAGACAATATTCTCATAACAACAACAAAAACACCAAAACACAACTTCACAAAATCATAGATACACAGCACATAGCAACACCTTGTTTTCTAGATAAACGTTGCAAGACATTGTTACCCCAATATCGGCATGGTTACCTCATCATCACATAGCAACACCTTAAAAGTTCAACTTTTAGTGTCCTGCATCGCGATGAGTCGTTACGTGGCCGGTGGTCAAAGACCACGAACTCCGAACGGGTGAGGCTGTAATGGTAAGCGAAAATCAAACCCCAAGCGCTGTGGCTTGAAAGGTCAGGGAGGCCGAAGCCAAACAACAATGGCTGTTCCTCACACTGGAAGAACAGGCATATGGAAAAGGTCAAAAGCCCGAAAAGGAAAAAACAGAAAAGGAGGATCCTAGAAGGGAAACAGCCAGACGGAGTCAAGGCTGAGGGCAAGTTCCGGGAAGGACCGAAATGATTACAAGAGAATTTCGAGGCAGTGGATTGTCCACTCCCCTCAAACCTTGGCAAAAAACAGCAGCTTCAAAGTTGGACGGGCGAAGCCGGAAAAGTCCAACACCCGCCGCTGCGGACAAGGTAAAGGCTCAAGTTTGCAGCTCTGAAGACCCCAAAGCGGTTGCGATCCACTGTAAAAACATTGGTAGCCAGCGAAAGAACATCGGGTATCGGCACACCTGGAAGTGGGGATGTGTCTGCAAGGACCAGCTCTCCAGAATAAGGAGGGGAAATGCATGAATAGCTCCACTGCCAGAACCCCCACGGAGGGTGTTGCCCAGGGCAAAGCCCTGGGCAAAGCCAGGGCCCACTGTAAAAGTCCAACGTACTGCTGGGTAAAAAACGCATGTACGTTTCACCCACTGCGTAGATGAGCAACTGCGCGTGACAGAGGCACCACGCTTCAGGAGTTCGAACGGCACCTTGGGAAGCCACACGGGGCAGATTGCAAGCGGGGTCACATCCGGGTTGAGCCTTGCAGGCATCATGGTTCACGCAGGTTTTCATCCACAGCGTCGCAAGAGATGTCAAGGAAGGTCACGATGCAGGTAGGCACGCCTTGTGATGCGAGGAAGGCACAGCCATGACTCCAGCCACCCGGAAGACAGCACGAAGCGGCAAAAGAGAGTGCACGGTGAGCACGCTGTGATGAAGGGGAGGTCCAAGAGGTGGAAGACAATGAAGCCGGGCCAAGAAGAGACCAGAGAAGCCAAACGCCCCCCAAGAGAGGGGCGCGGCGAGGCACCATGGCTGAAAGGTGACGAGGGCCATGTCAGCCAAACCCGCCGTTACCACGGGGAGGTCCTGAGCCACAACCGCTTCAACTTTTAGTGGGTGAAATGGAAATGGCAACTACCACTAAACACTAAAAGGCTCAAAAGTCAAGGAACCGGATGGGAGCCACCAAGACACCTCATCACATAGCAACACATTGTTTTACGGACAGAGACATACTTCGTGTTCACGTCCCTCCCTTCCACTAGGTCCTCCAGATTTGAGAGGTTACAATAAGTTGGTACCAACTTTGCTCTGTCTATTTTAGTAGGGGAACCCTCACCAAAAAAGAAACGGGTGAGAATTCGGTGGGGCACGACTGGGGGACCTACGCATGTTCTCCCCGAGTCCCGAGGCCCCAGGCCAGCGCTCCTCCCAGTCGGGGCCGAAGTTCTCGAGGTATTCGAAGTCCTCCGAGTTGATGCCCGGGTCCTCCGATGTCTCCTCCAGCACCTGGCAGCGAGAGCGGAGCCCGGGATTCTTCTTTAACCGGTCTCTGGGAGATCGGAGCCCTGGACTTTCGAGCACTTTAGCCGAACGTAGCGTGGGCCCAGAACCCGGAATCTTTTGCTTCTTCCGATTTTTGTTTCTCTATCTCCATTGGCCTCTACTCACTGACCTCCATAAAACTGATCTCCCTGAACGAACTTGAAGCTTGGCCCAGGAAACCGACGAACGTAGGGGCCCAGGACTTGCCGGCCCATTCACAGGTTGCCCAATTGGGGGAGCACTTCCATGTTTGGGGGAGTGTATCTCCATTGATCTTCATGGCAAGAAAGACAGTGGCCACCCTTACCACGTAAAACTCCAAGCCCTGGGGAAGTTCATCTTTTACAGACATATAGCCCAGGTTACCCAAAAAGTTGAAAAGTTGTCTTTTTAAGAGGTAAGCACCTGAAAAAACTCCTGACATGGAGAAAGCTGGTCACGTCAACGGACCCCAAAAGGGCCATTCAAAGACTGGGAAGCAAAGCAAAGTACGTCATACTCATCTCGACATGGGACCCGGTCCCCCCCTTTCGGCAGTTTTCCCTAATGTTGACCCAGGATGAAAAAACCCGTCCCATTATTAGAGGGGTGTTCCCTCCAAAAGTGGTCTGAATCCCCACTAAAAGGGGACTAAAAGGGGACACCCCCCAATAAACACCAACCAGGGGTTCTGCTTCCGGGGTTAGGGGGGTGTTCCCTCCAAAAGTGGTCTGAATTCAACGACTAAAAGGGGACACCCCCCCAATTAAATCCGGGGTTAGGGGGGTGTTCCCTCCAAAAGTGGTCTGAATTCAACGACTAAAAGCGGACACCCCCCCAATTAAATCCGGGGTTAGGGGGGTGTTCCCTCCAAAAGTGGTCTGAATCCAACCACTAAAAGGGGACACCCCCCAATTAAAACCAGCTAGGGGGGTGTTCCCTCCAAAAGTGGTCTGAATCCAACCACTAAAAGGGGACACCCCCCCAATTAAAGCCAACCGGGTTCTGCTTCATTCGCCAAAAGTGGTCTGAATCCCCACTAAAAGGGGACACCCCCCCCAATAAACACCAACCAGGGGTTCTGCTTCCGGGGTTAGGGGGGTGTTCTCCAAAAGTGGTCTGAATCCAACCACTAAAAGGGGACACCCCCCAATTAAAACCAGCTAGTCCTTTTAAAAGTGGTCTGAATCCAACCACTGAAAGGGGACACCCCCCCAATTAAAGCCAACCAGGGGTTCTGCTTCATTCGGGGTTAGTGGGTGTTCCCTCCAAAAGTGGTCTGAATCCCCACTAAAAGGGGACACCCCCCCAATAAACACCAACCAGGGGTTCTGCTTCCGGGGTTAGGGGGGTGTTCCCTCCAAAAGTGGTCTGAATCGAACCACTAAAAGGGGACACCCCCCCAATTAAAACCAACCAGGGGTTCTGCTTCCGGGGTTAGGGGGGTGTTCCCTCCAAAAGTGGTCTGAATCCAACCACTAAAAGGGGACACCCCCCCCAATTAAAGCCAACCAGGGGTTCTGCTTCCGGGGTGGGGGTGTTCCCCCCAAAAGTGGTCTGAATCCAACCACTAAAAGGGGACACCCCCTCAAATAAAACCAGCCAGGGGTTCTGCTTCCGGGGTTAGGGGGGTGTTCCCTCCAAAAGTGGTCTGAATCCAACCACTAAAAGGGGACACCCCCCCAATTAAAACCAACCAGCGGTTCTGCTTCCGGGGTTAGGGTGAATCCAACCACTAAAAGGGGACCCCCCAATAAAAACCAATGTTCCCTCCAAAAGTGGTCTAAATCCAACCACTAAAAGGGGACACCCCCCCCCAATTAAAACCAACCAGGGGTTCTGCTTCCGGGGTTTAGGGGGGTGTTCCCTCCAAAAGTGGTCTGAATCCAACCACTAAAAGGGGACACCCCCCCAAATAAAGCCAACCAGGGGTTCTGCTTCATCCGGGGTTAGGGGGGTGTTCCCTCCAAAAGTGGTCTGAATCCAACCACTAAAAGGGGACACCCCCCCAATAAAAACCAACAAGGGGTTCTGCTTCCAGGGTTAGGGGGGTGTTCCCTCCAAAAGTGGTCTGAATCCAACCACTAAAAGGGGACACCCCCCCCAAAAACCAACCAGGGGTTCTGCTTCCGGGGTTAGGGTGTTCCCTCCAAAAGTGGTCTGAATCCAACCACTAAAAGGGGACACCCCCCCAATTAAACCAACCAGGGGTTCTGCTTCCGGGGTTAGGGGGGTGTTCCCTCCAAAAGTGGTCTGAATCCCCACTAAAAGGGGACACCCCCCCAATAAAACCAACCAGGGGTTCTGCTTCCGGGGTTAGGGGGGTGTTCCCTCCAAAAGTGGTCTGAATCCAACCACTAAAAGGGGACACCCCCCCCAATTAAAACCAACCAGGGGTTCTGCTTCCGGGGTTAGGGGGGTGTTCCCTCCAAAAGTGGTCTGAATCCAACCACTCAAAGGGGACACCCCCCCAATAAAAACCAACCAGGGGTTCTGCTTCCGGGGTTAGGGGGGTGTTCCCTCCAAAAGTGGTCTGAATCCAACCACTAAAAGGGGACACCCCCCCAATTAAAACCAACCAGGGGTTCTGCTTCCGGGGTTAGGGGGGTGTTCCCTCCAAAAGTGGTCTGAATCCAACAATTAAAACCAACCAGGGGTTCTGCTTCCGGGGTTAGGGGGGTGTTCCCTCCAAAAGTGGTCTGAATCCAACCACTAAAAGGGGACACCCCCCCAATTAAAACCAACCAGGGGTTCTGCTTCCGGGGTTAGGGGGGTGTTCCCTCCAAAAGTGGTCTGAATCCAACCACTAAAAGGGGACACCCCCCCAATTAAAACCAACCAGGGGTTCTGCTTCCGGGGCTAACATCACCAACGGGGCAGTTGTTGGCCTCACGCTTCTCCGGCTCAAGGACCAGCAGCTCCAGCCCCGAGCGCAGACACGGCGCCGCCTTCTCCGCCGCCGCGAGGCTCGCCAGGGCCGGCCTGGGGGGCCGACGCGGTGCAGGGGGATGAGGTTTGGTGCCACAGAAACCGGCCTTAAAACCACCATTTCCCCAAAAAATCTGGGTGGCCCTCATTCTTCCCCAACGCAAAGGTCCCCAAACTTGAGGACGCTCCGTTTGGTTCCCCCCCCCTCCCAAAGCCCACCAAGGGCCCCCAAAATGTTTGCGACAAATGGCAGTTTTAAGGCCACTCCGGTTCCAAGCCCACCAAGGGCCAAAGGGGTTGAGCCCACTGTGTCAGAAAATCGCGCGAGCAGAGCCGATCTGGCGTTTTGAAGGCCATTGCTAGCCTTTGAAGGGCCTGGTTCAACTATGACTAAGGTGAAAGGGCATGTCCTTGTCATCAAACAACCCAACATGACAGCAACGTGACGCTTTACCCGCTCTCTGATGCAGGATGCAGCTGATCTAGACATCAGAGATGAGTTGCAGTGTGTGAAACCGGTTGGCATGAGCTGTCAATAGCCCTATGCTTATCACTTACTTGAGTTTGATATTAGCTTTAAGCTGACACTCAATTGTTCCATTTCCAGTTGTGTGTGTGTCATACAGTTCTATGACAATAACCAGCTTCATTAAACTTATGTGATGGTATGGATATGTATGGGGCTGAAGCCAGCACCAAACGCAAATCTGCTCTTGCACAAGCACTTCAGTTGTAGCCATGGCGGTATGGGTGAAAGCTATGTAGGGACGATCCAAGTGGCTGGTTTCCTGTGGATAAAAAAAGCGGCGCAGTCGCCATATGAGGCAACACATCGCACATACCGTGTATCTAGCCAAACTTCACGGGTTTTCTTGGGGGGATACCGGGGATGAGGCGCGCAAGCACGCACGCACAACCATACACCAAAGACAAAAAAACAAAAACAGAGACACCCCAACTTGGGACGCTCACATCAAGGCCCATGATGCAGGGTTGGGCGAGCTACCTGTTGAAGCTTGGTTCAAAGTGCAGTTGTTGCAACAACGTCATGTGTGCTTCTCTCCAAATTGCCTTGCGCCAAGTTGTGAGTTGACATAGCAACGAAAGCAATCCTCAAATGACTCACATGCGAAAGGCTTGGCGTGACCAAACAACGGGGCCTCATCTCGCTGTCAGTTCAAAACGGCCCGAGCTACACTCGAATCCGTGGGTTTGTGCCACCTGGAAGATACCCATCATGTCGGTTTGAAAACGGTATCCCCCACGCAAACCTTTGATTGGCTTCGTTAATGGTTCGCGAAAGCAAAGGACAATTATTGGCTTGGTTTCGAAATCCGGTTTAGGAAGCCACGGGACCCATTTTCAGGGTTGGCGTTTGGATATCCACCAACACAATGAGAAAAAGAGAGGGCGAAAAGCGACTGGCGAACGGCTGGGCGTTCGTCGAATTGATGGGGGCTCCTGCTTTTTCAACCCCCACCCTGTGTTGCAGGTCCATGTATGATGGACATCAACCAGGTTTGGGGTTGGACAAATCGGGTTCCTCCTTTCATCGTTGCCTCTTGCGGAGGGCGACCATCCCCCCGCCGTCTCATTGCGGCCCCATGATTTTTCCACTATCAAAGTCAACCACTTAAGTGGTAGGTCAAAAAGCGAACCCCCTCACACATCTTTGTGTTTTCTTCACCTTCCACCAAATCAACCCGACATTGGACCCATCAACCACCATGCCGGCCAGGTGCCCCTTCCCCTTCCCCTCCCGTGTCCGGTCTGGCCTTTCGCTTTTTTCCGCCAACAACCATGCCGCCCAGGAGACCCCTTCCCCTCGTTTCTTCCATTCCCGCGCCAGGGGGCAAACTGGTCTCCTCCAAGACCAACACCGCCAGGTCGTCGAAGGGCAACAGCTGCGCCAGCTGCTTCTCCGCCTCTCGACTCGACGACTCGACCCTTGGAGCGTCCTCAAAACCGAAGACTTCGGGTACGCAGATGCCCAGTGGATTTCCATGGGGAAAAACAATCGGATGCATCTTTCTTCGGTTGGTTGACTTTACAGGGGAACCCTTCCAACAAACAAGTTGAAAAAAGGAAGCAACCCACTGGGCAACTGGGGGTAGCAAGGGAGGGTAAGGGACAATCCCCTTGCATTAAACGGGTGTGGGAATCCGCCTGGCCTTTTCAATTCTTGAAGCATGGTTCCGGGCAGACCATTTCAATGTTTTGTTTGTGACTCATTTACTTCCCCCCCCAAAAAAATGAAGAAGAAGAAGAAAGAACGAAAAACGAAAAGACAAACAGCCCACGACAGGAAACTCAGTTGACACCAACGGGTTCCCTAGACTTCCAATCTGAACACATCACTCCTACCCCAGGGAAACTCATTTTGACCCAAAAGGGAAATCTGAACCCTCAATCACGCGCGGGTTCAGTAGGCATGAGTTGGAAAGACCTCGACAAAACACCATCCCACTTACTCATTCCCTTCGGGTTGTCTGGCAAAACACGCACACAAATCTCCTGGGTGTCTGGGTCTGCTTGGAAAAAACAACGGACCTCACTTGCCAGGTGTTGTATTGGAGGATGGAACAACTAAAACAGATTACCCATCCTCCTTTTCGAACGATTTAAGATTCCGGGCTACCTAGCACGCAAACACACCTCAGCCAGTGTTGGACACACCAGTGACTTGCCCAACCCGAGCCGTGCGAAGGTGCCATGTTCGTTTTGGTTGGCAGGACCATTTGTTTTGTGCGTTGGGAATTAAAGGCTGTCGCTGAAACAGGAAAGGCTCAAGGTCCCCGCATATCGGCCCCATGATTTTAGTTGGTTGACGTTGGAAGGGGAGCAACAAAAATAATTTTTAGCAGTTAAGTGGGGATTTCCCACCAAACCACAATAAGCAAAAATGGGAAACATGTTTCCCAACAACAACCATGATTTTACCCCTGTCACCCTTTCAAGCACTCTCAGCACGGCGCATCAACCCAAATCAAGGAAGGACTTGAGACAGAAATTTGGCAATCATGCGAGGAATTCTGCGGCTGCGGGCCGTTAGATAAAGAACTGACCCCTGCTTCTCCCTTGTTTCTAGAAATGGTCAAACACATGTTTTCCCAGTACCTCCGCCAATCCGCCAATTCAAAAGCAAATAAAAAAGAGGGTTTTGGACTACTTCCAAACAAATCAACATATTTCATGAAAAAGGAAGAATTGGACTTGCGGTAAAGGACCTGTGTGGGTACTTTCTCGTTGTATCCTTGGATCTCGTTACAAAATACTAGCGCCTAATTAAAATGGAATGGGGTTGTGGGGTACTTTAAGTCCACCTTTCGTCATGGGTCTAAAAAAGGGGAAACCACTGGTAAGTGGATTTCAAGCACCCGCAGGTAGTCAGAATTGGTCCACAAATTGTCAGAGTGTCGTCTAGTTTTGCGTCTCACAATTGGTCCACTTTGGTGCGTCTCCAAATAGACCCCCCGAAAACTGGTCGGCTCTTTGTTTTTGCAGCCGGAAGGGATTTCCAAAAGACGCGTTTGGGGTTCATACACCTCCTTTCCTGGGGGGTTGGGTGCGTTTCTGCGGGTCTTGGATCCATATTCTTACGGGTAGACTACAACTTCTTCCCCCCCCCTCGGCCTCGAGTCACTCGAAGCCCCTGCCTTGGTCTTCGGTAGCTGAAGCAGCAGCACCACTTGGAAGCTCGGGTTCACCTCCAAGCCCAGCGATTTGCCCACCTGACGCGCTAGCGACCCACCAAGTGGCAAGTGCGGGGAGAGAAAAATGGGATCTTAAAGCCAGTGGAGGTTTAGGTAGTGAATTATGATACCCTACCTTAAAGGCGGATCTTAAGGTTTAACGCATTTACTTAAAAGTAAGTCAAGCTGGAAGGGCGCTCTGCTTTTGGTGGTGGATGTCAAAGAAACCCACAAGCCGGGCGGGCGAACACTCGGCGAGTTGCGGGGGTTTGTTGTTTTTGAAAGCTGTTCCAAACCACCCCAGAGCCGATCTGGGCAGAGACCCCGTAGCGTTCAGCAATAAGGGAAGAAACAACACATGCTTTAGAGGGAACCCAATGGGTGGGGGGGCTCCCCGTGTTTTTGCTTTTTTTTGCGCCGGAAAGACCCACTGCAGCACAAACTGCCCGTTTGATTTTCTTCAACACCTATCCACTCAAACCAACAAGCCAACAATATCCCTCTCAAGAGAACTGCCCTTGGACCTTTTTGGCTCAACTATCGTCAAGGGGAGTTTTGTCTGGGGGATCCCCAGTAGCTTTGGGCCCAAACTGGACATGTTCGCCGCCGCTTGTGTGCAACACCTGCCGTTCAACTCGTCCGAAACCGCCCGTCTCGAGGAGCCTCCTCCAGCTTCTCGAAGTCAAAGATTTCCAATGGCACCTCGGATCGATCCCAAACCCCAAGATCTGGCTGGTGCTCAAATGAGTGAGGCATGGAATGACCCCGAAGAAAACTAATAATATATATATATATATATATATAGAAACAAAAGGGTGGTTTCCTTTCGGGCAATCTTGCTGCTCAGGGCATGAGACATGGAATGACCCCCTTAAAAACAACAAGCCAACTGGCGGTTTCCGAAAAAAAATGAAGAAGAACAACATCTGGGTCCTTCCCTATCGCACCAGCAAAAGGAGCAGACTCCCAAAGGACCGGTGCCTGGTTTGTGGGATCTTCCTTTCAGCCTGCCAGGCCTTGCCAAGCCACAGCGGCCAACAGCCTCCTCCCCAGTCGGACGGTTGGAGCCGGAGCTGGGAGCTTTGGTGAAATGGGGTGCTTTCCCATGTCGCCTCTACAAGAACCAGGGGCTCCAATCCAAAAAATCCAAATCCAAACCACCCGGTCCAAAGCACCAAATTAGGGTTGCCTGGTTGCCTCACCTGCTACGAATCGGGTTTCCGACCATGGAGTTGCCAGGGCGAAGTGACCCAACCCATTCAAACTGGCGACAGCTGCACCTCTGGAAGGTCTTGAGTCAGCATATAACCAAAACAACTCAACATCACAAATGTAACCGAGCAACGCAGTATGTTACTAGGTCCTCCAGTAGAGAGGTTAGAATAAGGGAACCTTTTTGTTCTTTCTGTAGTCTATTTTAGGGGAGCCCTCCCCCAAAAAAGAAACGGTAAAAGAAACGGCACCTAGCTGGGGGACCTAGACTAAAACAACCCAATTCAAAGAACCAGAAACAGCATAGCTACCAAACTCAAAAGTAAAAGATGCGCCTTGATCACCAGCTCTGTCTTGGAAGTGAGAAAGAGGCGGCAGAAAAAATCAAAATCACCACAGTTTGAATAGATACTCTCCATCCCATGGCACCTGACAGGGGTTTCTCCAAGAGGGAACTGATCTTCCAGGTACCCTCCCACAAAAAAAGCAGGAGTGAAATCGATTCCTTTTAAAACCAACAGGGGAAACTGGAAAACATATTCATTTCAGCAAATGGAAGAAGATAGATCACCCACCGGCCCACCCCCTTTTCCAACCGCGCCAGACCCGAGGGCGAGTGGCGCGGCTGTCGCAGAAGTGGCGCAGGTTCAAAGGCGAAGATCCCAGGAGCAGAACCAGGCGCTTGCCCGAGCTCATGGCTTCCTCTGATGCTCCGAGGTGTTTCTCTTGTGTTGCCCAGAGGGTCCCTTGGTACCTGAGGATGGCTTTTGGGAGTGTATATAAGTACCTCCTTCCTTAGAAGGTACCAAGGGACACTCCGATGCGATGCTCCGAGGATGTTGGTTCTCTTTGGTCAACAGGGCGGTGGTTGAAATGGAACCCACGAATCTGTGATACAACAAAAAGGGCTTCAGAAACAAAGACTACCCCCCCATTAATTGTTAAGGGGGAGATTCCCTTGTATCACAGAAGTGGGGATAAACCCCTTGTTGCCTAGAGGTCCAAGTACCTCCTTGGAAGGTACCAAGGGGCCCTCTGGTTGGTGAACTTGTCAAGGAGCTGATTCACATTGTATCACATCAGGGTCGATTTTGCCAGGGATGGGATTTTGACAAGGACATTCTGGACAAATCACATCCCTCGTCGGGGAAGCACCGCTATATAGCCTCAAACAAGAGCAAACTCAATTGACACCTGCGGCGCTTGGTGGTTTTCTTAAAAGGACCCGTGAAAAGAATGGGGAAACTTCGTGGTTGCTGTTGACACCTCTGCAAACAGTTGCTCACTCTTTGTGTGTCAGGAACAACTCCCACAAAGCGTCGACCAAACAGCTACTGAAAGTCCAAAGATCCGTTGCCAATTCGGCACACCTAGGTCCTCCAGATTTGAGAGGTTAGAATAAGTTGGTACCAACTTTTTCCGTCTATTTTAGTAGGTTGGAACCCAAAACCCCCAAAAAAACAAGGGTACTCGATATTTTTCCCGGTAGTCATTAGTAGGGGCACCCTCACCAAAAAAGAAACGGCTGAGAAACGGGCGCCTTGGGGGACCTAGAGCCCCTACCAACCTCTCAAAAAAATCGAGAAATCAGATCCGACAAAATCCCCCCCTCGACATCGCATGTTACCATGGTCAAAGTCAGCCCAAGTGGGTTAAAGGGAAACACACCCCATTTCTGCCTTTGATACCCCCCAGCAAAATCCCAAAACCCCCGCTCGGCGCCGATCCTTGGGTCCTTCAAGGCGTGGTGTAGCTCCAGTCGCGCTCGCTCCAGGGACAAGCTCTTGCAGAGATTCATCCGCATCTGGAGCTCGTAGAGATCGAAGATCACGCTGCCTGGAGGCATTCGCGTGCCAATACGTCCCCGGGGAAAGACAACAATAATAAACAAAAACACATATGTCCAGTAGTGAAATGGATGCCCTTTAAAACCAACAGGGGAAAACAGAAAATGATAGATTCCCTTGAAAACCACTGCCTCATCCACTTGCTCAAGTTTTTGGGGAAAAATGAGAAACATATCTCCAGTAGTGTCCATTTGCATTTTCGGCCCCGGGACAAAACAGTCCCCTGGAAAAAAACAGTCCCCTGGAAAAAACAGTCCCCTGGAAAAAACAAACGAATTTATTTGCGAATACGTCCCCTGGGGAAAACATACATATCCAGTAGTGAAATCGATTCCCGTTGATAAGAAATATCTCCAGTAGTGTCCATTTGCTTAAGGCCCCCGGAAAAAAAAGAAAATATGTCCAGTAGTGTGGGACAATAGAACATATTCTTAACCAAATGGCGGGCCTGGAGGCAGGCCCCCCCCCCCAAACCCCTCCCGCTGGTTGCCCAAAATCAGACCTCAACAAGGACATACTAAGAGAGGTCAAAGGAAGGAGGGTGGTTGGATAATACGACAGGCCAAGAAACACAACACTTGCTCATCCACCGTGTGCTGTCCTTTCGGAAAAATCAAAGATAATGAACATAAGACATGGCTATATATATATACACATACAGTACTCACCCAGTGAGACTCTTGAGATTGGGAGTGGCCTCTAAGCAAGTTCACGCATTCACTCAACGAGGATTTCCTAAAGGAAAGTCTGGATCACAAACTTCTCCCGAGTTTTTCCGCGCCCATCGCCCGCCGAACCGCGAGGCGACAAAAAATCTGCCCCCAATTGCTTTTGGTGTTGGTTTTTCGAGGCGAGAAACACAACCCGTTTTTGTTGCTACCTTTCGAGGCTCGGTCTCTTTTTCAGGCTCGATTTAAAGTGAAACCAAAGGGAAGCCGCAGCCGTGTTTGGTGGGCACGGCCGCATTTTGACCCACCCACATGGCCATGTTCCTAACGTTGATTGCGTTTGAGTTCCCTACCAGCCGCAAAAGGACTCTTTGAGGATTTGTTGAAGTGCCAAAGAGGAAACCAATAAAGAGGACGGGTAGTCTGAGATATGTGCCATGGTCAAAAGACCTGCTGACTCTCTGACTCATGAGCCTTTACCAAGGTCTCAGACAACGATTAAGGGAAACACGACCATGACATAGGTAGTCTTGACCATTGAACATATTGGCTATGATGTTGGTAGACATAAACCCTTCGTGTAAAGATGTCCATCAAGATCCCCAATTAAACTTCATAGCCATGTGCCAGCACCCTCCAAGGGTAGTCCCTTTGTACCCAACCGAAATGGCTCACACAAGAGCACTGCAGGTACAAATGGAAGGTGCTGGTGGGTGTGTCTTCTTGAGAGTACCCTTGTGGACTTAGTTCCACGTGGTATTTCTCTTACCAAAACAAGGTACCCTCCCCAACCTGAAAGGGTAACAATCCATGAACAAAAAGATGGGGTGGCTTTTCTATTTCTCATGGGTTTCTCCTAAGCCTCGAACAAAATAACAAATAAAAAGAGCGCGTCATAGCTGTGGGTTTCCCTGGTAGATGATTGAACCACCAGGGAAACCAGGAATCGCTCCCTCTATTTTTGTTGAAGCGAAACAGCCAAAAAGGACACCTGTTGAACCGGTGGTGTTTCTCTAACGTCAGGAAACCCTTCCGCTGGCGAAACGTTTCCCTCATCAACGTCTTCCATGGCCTGCGAGCTGGCAGTGGAGCTTGGCCGCCGCCGCGGCCCGAGCGGAGCAGCACCTAGTGGCGCCGGGAGCTCTATTGGAGCCCTCGTTGGGTGTGGTTGACAAATATCTGGCTGTTGTCAAAATAGGTATTTCAAACGGAACCCTGGTAAATGGAAACATGGCCCAAACACTGTGGTCCCTTGGTGGTTTGATTTGACCCATACCCATATCAACACATATGAGGCCTGATCAATCCTCCATTCAGGGCCAGCAAATGAGCGATGGGTATAACTTTGCCAAGTGGCATAACATCAGATCTTGATACTCCAAGCAATGGTCATCTCATATTCCTTGGACGGTTGGATCCACCGCGCCTGAACTGAACAAAGCTCAGCTTCCCTCCATAAGTGGGCGGTTTGGAGCCGGAGCTCGGTGCTTTGGTGGTGGAAAATGGGGTGGCTTCACAAGTACCTTCTACAAGAACCAGGGGTTCCAAACCACCAATCCAACCCACCACCTGGGTGCCTGAGGATTGGTGTGGGAGGTGCCTGAGGCGCGGAACTTGATGGAGTTTTCGGCCTTGACTTTGGGCTGGTGGCTCCCTAGATCTCCCCCTCAAAGATCAACCCAAGAGGACACTCTTCCACCAGGAGAGATGTACATTTGCTGAAAGGGAAATATTGGAACCCTGAAAGAGAAAGAGGACATCTGTGGAAGAGAAATCCCTGGACATGTCTGGAAGAGGAATATCCCTGGCAAGAGAGAAGATTGCAGGTAAGTCAGCTGGCCCAGGAGCAGGAGGCAGGCGTGCTGCCGCGCCAGCAGTGCCCGCTGCAGGCTGCGGTAAAGCTGCCTGTTGAGTCAGCGGCTAGGTAGAAATTTGCGCCGAAGGGAGTGGGCCCTTTGGCTCACTTCCTGAGATGGGCCAAACAAAAGTCTGAACATTTTGCTTACCAAACCCTTTGGGATCTGGGGTTGGCACCTCCCCAACTGCAACTTGGATTCAGTTACAAATAATACCACTAAAATGGTCGTCCCATTTTTAAAAAAATAAATCCACACATGCTTGTTGCTGTTCTTGACATCCTGTTGCTATTTCAGCTATCCTGTTGAATGTACCCATGGCACGTTTGGCGTTTGGATGAAGGTGGCGTTCAGGGACCTTACTCATTCAAGGGAGGGGGTTAATAGTATCTCAGTTTCATCTAGTCTTCACGGGACAACATGAACTCAACAGGGAACACCAGGGGTTGAACTCTCTCGCTCTCTCTCGTTGCTTTTCACGGCTGGGGTGCAGGTTGGAACTTTAGCGAGGAAAACGCTAACGATAGCAAACGTGTGATATATCACGGTGCGCCCCTACAATGGCAACCAACAACTCGCTTACTAAGTACATGTCCCAAGCACATGTCTACACGTTTGGCTTGCTAACATGGTATCCAACATGTTGCAACATGGTCTTCCCCAACACCTACAGCCCACAAACTTGGGAAGTGAGACCATGCCGAGCCCAAACAACAATCAACCAACGTTATCCTCGAAGCACTGCACAAATTCCAACATGAGCTCGGCGACACGAAACGAACTTCACTCGGAAGCGCTTGCTTGGATATGTGAAGCCAACGACTCCCACTCAAATTTACATGGTGCACAAAACGGGAGTTGCCCCAAAAAGGAGAGTCCTCTAGAAATGGCTGGGATCCACGTTTATGGGCTATTTGTCGCCACCCTGAACTTCCCGAATACAACGTTAACCAACAAACCAATCATGTGCGCCATGGTCAAATCTCTTCATGTGGGTCAAGGTGGTTCCCTTACAAGCTTCCTTTTGGTTAAGACAGCTGGAACAAATAAAACCATTTCCAGTAGTGATAGATTCCCTTTGAAACCAACAAGGGAAAAGAAAAACAAATATTGTCAAGCAAATGGAAGCAAGGAACCCTTCCAACCCCAAGGCAAACCGATGTTTTGACCGTGGCACACGTCTGATCTCACGCGAATCGCATGAGATTCCGACAGCCTAAACGGCACCGGCTGCCACTCCATATCGTATTTCTGCACGCTTTCCTGGCAGACCCATGGGAACGTATCAGTTTCCCTTCTTTTTCTCGGTTGCTTTCTGCTCCCCTGCTAAAAAAATAACTTTTAGTGCTTTAATGTGAAACCCATTAGTTGAAAAAAGTTGGAGTCCTAACATCCAACAAAGTTTTGGATATGGTTGTGTCTCAAAATCAGGGCACCCACAAATTGTTGGTTTCCTGCTGGTTTCGCTTCAAAGCACCCCGAAGAAAAAAAGAGAAACAAAAACGTTGGGCGAAAACCCACAGTGCCATGCACATCTTCACACCAACAAAGACAATTACAAAACCCGCAAGTCTCCTCGATTGTTTGTTTGCTGTTTGGGTCAGTTTTCTGATCCGGGCGTGGTCGAGCCATGTTTGAACCAAAGTAAAGGTCTGTGGCCTTCGCGCGCGCATTATTTTTGCTCGCCGTTGATTTGTGATAACTCGGCGTGTTCTCTGTGGCAGCGCTTGCTCCTTTTACGTTGCTCAATACTCAACTCAGATGCCCAGGAACCATGGCAAACAACGGGCATCCTTTTGTTTGGTTGGCGGACTTTAAACTGGAACCCTTCCCAAACAAGAAAACAAGGGGCACCACTGGGCAACAAACTAGACACCCACACGGACACACAAAACACGCGAGTTCGTTAGTTTTGACAACGCCAGTAGGGCACTTGACTACCAAACTACTAGGACCTAGGGCCAAAGGAAGAAAAACAACTCGAGAAACAACAGATGTTGCCACAAGATCTGCTTTGTTCTCTCAATGTGGCTTTGCTTGCTCTTGGTTTTGCCAGTATGTTCAGTTGGTTTCTTCAAGTAACCCAAACACTCGAGTTGTTTGGGTCTTTTCTGCTGATACCCGTCAACTAATCCAAAACATACTGAGTTGTTTCATTGTTGTGGGCATGTTCCCTCCAACACAGCCAGCGCACCTCAGTGATGTGTTGTGTTGGTCCTGCCGACACTCCAAAAAACAAACAAACATCGAGGACTTCCTTTAAGACACTTATAATTTAAGAGCAAGAACATTAAATAAGGGCAGAACCAACTTATATGCTCGATGTTTCAACAGCTGGCTTTAAAGTCTTGACTCAAGCTGGTTCAATCCAATCTCCTTTGCGGGCTGCTTAGAAAGCTCCTTGCAACGCTCCTTATAGTCCTCATTGCAAAGCCTGGTAAACAAATGCGGACAACACTCCTTACGGCTCCTTATTCAGCTCCTTGTACAATTCCTTGCAAAGCTGCTTGACAAGCTTCGTTTAAAGCTCACTTGTGAAGCTGCTTGCCAGACTCCCCAAGCTCCTTCTAAAGCTCCTTCTAAAGCTCCTTCTAAAGCTCCTTCTAAAGCTCCTTCTAAAGCTCCTTCTAAAGCTCCTTCTAAAGCTCCGTACAAAGCTCCTTATACCAGATCGGATTCTCATCAAGGTTTACTTGGAAAATTCAACGTCTAATTTAGTTGGTAAGGACATACTGTGGATGGACAAAATCCTGCACCAGTTGGTGGATAGATTATCCTCGTGTATCCCAGTACTCCTAAGGGTTTCATCCATCCCAACTGGTGCAGGATTTCGTCCCTCCACAGTAATTCAATGCGTGTGGCTCAAACTCAAACAGGAGGGGCACACCGCAGGTTTTGGTCCATGTTTCCACTGACCGGTTTTCTGCTACCCTTTCTGGAACTCCGGTTTTGTGAAATTCGCCACCTCATTTTGGTAGAGGTTTTGACTTCGCCACAGGAATTTAATTAGAACCTCCAGGTGAGCCGCTCGCTCCGCCACGTAGGCTTCGATCAGCTGTGCCAGGGCCAGCACCGCGGGAGCTCCGGGCAGCGGGGGCGGCGCGGCGGGCGCCTTGGCCTTGGCCTTGGCCGACTTCGCCTCGGCGGCTGCGGGCGGCGTTGGGCCACCGGAGGGCCCGCGCCCGCCGGTCTTCCGGATTTCCCAAGTCACAAATTGATAGGGGTCCTGCACTCCGGGTCCTTGGCGGAATCAGCCAGCCAGCCAGCCTGCAACCAAAGCGGCGGAATCAGTCAGCCAGCCAGCAGCCAGTGGCGGAATCAGCCAGCCAGCCAAGGAGATGCCCGGCGGAATCAGTCAGCCAGCCACGGGGCAACCGCGGCGGCGGAATCAGCCAGCCAGCCAAGGAGATGCCCGGCGGAATCAGCCAGCCAGCCAAGGAGACGCCCGGCGGAATCAGCCAGCCAGCCAAGGAGACGCCCGGCGGAATCAGCCAGCCAGCCAGCAACGGAGAGCCAGAGAGAGAGAGAGAGATAGAGACACGAAGACGCGACACTGCGCAGCTTCAGAGCTTCACAGCTCCAGCCCGAAGACACGAAGACGCGAAGCTGAGCAGCTTCCAGCTTCACAGCTTCAGCCCGGCCCGCAGACACGAAGACGCGAAGCTGCGCATATATATGTGCTTAGGTAGGGAGATAGAGAGAGAGATGTATATATATATATATATATATAGGTTTTCATATTTAGAGGGAGATAATATAGATAGATAAATATATTTCAGTAAATAGGTAGGTATATAAGAGAGAGACAGAGCGATATGTATATATATAGAGATAAGTAGATAGAGAGAGAGAAAGATGGGTAGATAAAGAAAAATGTAGTTATATGTGTATGTAGATAGATAGGTAGACAAAGAACTATGTGTATAAATATGTAGATACATCAGTATATACCTATAGATGAGGAGATAGATAAGTAGATAGAGAGTGACTGAGATTGATAGGTACAGGCAGAGAGAGAGATAGGTAGATAGAGAAATATGTATATAGAAATGTACAGAGACAAGTAGATAGAAATATATATATATATATGTAGAGAGATGAGATAGGCAGATAGGGAAAGATGTAGATAGATATTCAGACAAAGGGATATATATCTGTAGATCAGTACATAGGGAGAGGGAGGGATAGGTAGACAGAGAAGTATGTGGGTAGATGTATATATATATATATGTGTATTTATATAGATAGATAGGTATGTAAGAGAGATATAGGTAGATAGAGAAAGATGTAGCTGGATATTTCGGGAAAGAGATAGAGAGAGAGAGAGAGTGATATGTATATATATAGAGAGATAAGTAGATAGAGAGAGAGAGATAGGTAGATAGAGAGAGAGATAGGTATACAGAGAAAGGGTGGGATAGGAAAACAAAGAGAGACAGAGGTGGATCAGTATATGAATATAAAGAGAGATAGGTAGATGCAGAGAGGTATGTAGATAGAGAAAGGTGTAGATAGATAGAAACTAGATAGAGAAATATGGATCAGTATATGAATAGAGAGAGATATGTAGATGCAGAGAGATATGTAGATAGAGAAAAAGTGTAGATAGATAGAAACTAGGTAGAGAAATATGTGGTTAGACAGTTAGATAGATAGATGGATAGATAGATAAACAGAGGGGTAAATAGATAGATAGATAGATAGATAGTTATGTAGATACATAGATCGATAGATGGATACATGGATAAATATAAAGATAGATAGTACATGAATAAATGTAGAAAGAAGGTTTCCGACAGGTTTTCCGAAATTTAGTTGGACAGAGACATAGACGGGTATTTGGATAAAGATAGACATGTATGTACATATATAAATGGATATAGATAGACAGAAAGATATATCTAGATGTAGATGTAGGTCTAGGTATAAATGTGGCTGCGAACTTTAGGTGGTGTGTATATATGTCTATATGTATATATGCCCAAAAAGGTAAAAGGAAACAGCACCAGGGCTGGAGCCCGCTTGTGCAGGTCAGACTTTGTCCGGTTGCCTCGACCTTTGCTCGATCTCCAGTCAATGAGCAGCAAAACATGAAGCAAACACAAGCAAGCTTAGCAGCAAGGGGTGACAGGCCGTTGGCAGAGATTGTAGCTATGCCAGGGATCCGTTGCGTCATGCGAGTCGGATCCAAGCACATGTCCTCGGAGCAGAAGTTCGCGCGACTTATCCGAAAAATGCACCTTTCAAAGGGGAGGGGAGGGGGCCTGGAAAAGGTTCGAGCCCTTGGCAACCAAGCTCCCTTTGCTTTTTCTTTGGCCTGGCCCAGCCGAAAGCTTTGCTTGCCACCTTGTTTTCCAGGGGTCGGATTTCGTTCCTGAGGCCTCAGCATTTCCTTGTGTTTTTTGGTGGGCGCGCCACGAGGGCGTTGCGTTCTGCCAGCAAACCCAGCATTGTGACAGGGGGGGGGGAGGGGTTGTAACGTGCGATGTTGACGAGATGCCAAGCACCATGTCTATTATTATTGGCGGGGAGGGGTGGAGGGGTAGTAGCGTTCGATGTTGACGAGATGCAATGGTAGTAACGTAGATGCAAGGCATCACGTACATTGCTTGGGCGGGGGGGAGGGGTAGTAACGTTCGATGTTGACGAGATGCAAGGCATTATGTGCGTTGTTTGGGGAAGGGAGGGGGCCATGTTCGATATTAACAACACACCAGGTTTGCCGAGGATCGTGTTCTCGGCACTGTTTGTGTTTCATTTGTTTGCTCAAACACCGTCTAAATGCCGCTAGCAAAAGAAGATCATTTTAAGGGTGCCACTTGCCCTCCTGACTCACCCACATCTACCCGCATCCAATCGCCCACCTACCACCCACCTGACCTACCCACTTACCAGTTTGTGTGTGGCCGGTAAGTGGGCGCGCTGGGTGTCATGGCGTGCCGGACCGACTTGGGGCACGCCAGGTCGACTGATTACTCTTAGCCAAAAACTATGCAAACTTGGCGCAGCCTCGCGCGATCGTGTCCAAACAAGAGGCTGCCGATTCGGTCCTTGCCTTGCGTGGTGGACTACTTGACGTCAGAGACCCGGCGTGTCGCTGTCGGCGGTGGAGCCGATAGGGGGAAAGCGCCGCGCGAGGCAGCTTGCTTGGCGCGCTCCCGAGCCGTGGGAGGGATAGACTTCACTGCTGCGACTGAGTTGTCTTGCTCCTCAGCTCTTTCAGGAAGCCAAGGAGCAAATAGAAGCGGCCAGAGCCCTTGCGCTGCAGTGGGAGCGGGCGCAGTGACGAGTCCCTACAGCTGCCAGTTCTTGCGTGGCCGGTAAGTGGGCGCCGCAAACTGCGCGCAGCTTCACGCGATCGAGTCCAGACAAGAGGCTGCCGATTCGGTCCTTGCTTTGCGCGGCGGACTGCTTGACGTCCGAGACATCAGCGCCCAGACACGCTGATCGGGCGCCGTGTCGCCGCTTGGCGCGCTCCCGAGCCGTGGGAGGGATAGACATTCAGTGTTGCGACTGAGTTGTTTCGCTCCTCAGCTCTTTCAGGAAGCCAAGGAGCAAATAGAAGCGGCCAGAGCCCTTGCGCTGCAGTGGGAACGGGGCGCGGTGAGTGTGAGCGGGGCGCGGTGACAAGTCCCTAGAACTGCCAGTTGTTTTTTGTGGCCGGCAAGTGAGCGCGCTGTGTGTCACCGCAAACTGCGCGCAGCTTCAGGAGATCGTGTAGAGAATGCCGATTCGGTCCTTGCTTTGGGTGCGGACTGCTTGAAATCAGACATTAGGGTCGCAGATGCGCTGATCGGGAAATAATGTCGCCGCTTGGCGCGCTCCCGAGTCGTGGGAGGGATAGACTTCAGTGTTGCGACTGAGTTGTTTCGCTCCTCAGCTCTTTCTGGAAGCCACGGTCACAAGTTTTTAGAACTGCCAGTTGCTTTTTGTAGCTGGGTGTCACGGCGTGCCGGACTGGCTTGGCGAAATGAAGCGCGTCAGGTCGCGCGATTGCTATTGGCCGAGCGCTGCGCAAACTGGGCGAAGCTTCACGCGGTCGTGTCCAGGTTGTCAGGCAACTATGGGGGGTCGGAACTTTTGGTATAAGCCGTATACCGTATATCGCCGTTCTGTTAAGCCCTACGGGTGTTGTGTGAAGAATCTTCACGGGGGAATTCTACTTTCTACTTTGTCAAATTCATTTGGACTCAGCTGCAATTGCTGGGGCCAGGAAAACTTCGGCTGTCTAGCAAAGGAATTTGTGGATCGTTTTTGTTTCTCTCTTCAGCGTATGGGAACGAGATGAATCCAGGCTGGTCCAAGGCAACAGGAAACCTAGGCTTCTGCCCCTGCTTTCTGTAGTTCCCTGCACCCGGAGACACAGTGCGGAGACACAGTGCGTTGTTTTTTTGTGTCAGCTTTGTAAGTTCACCAAAAATCTTTCACCCCGATTCAGGGACGTGCCTAAATTCGCATGGCCCCAACAGGTTTAGAACGGGAGCCTCTGATGATGGGGTCGTGTGTTAAAGGGAGGCCACGAGGAACAGGACAGCAGGCCGTTGAACGTGGCCCAGGTCAACAGATGTCTCGGACACCACCACCGGAAATAATTATAAAGTATGTTTGAATATTTGTTTTATACTATGTTTGAATTATATATAGTATATATATTGTACCACTTCCCCCACTATAGCTTTTTTTCGTCTCCGGCTCTCCGGCTCCGGCCCGGCTCCGGCCCATCTCCGGCTCCGGCCCGGCTCCGGCCCGGCTCCGGCCCGTCTCCGGCTCCTTCTCCGGCTCCGGCTCCGGCACGGCTCCGGCTCGGCTCCGGCCCGGCTCCGGACCGGCTCCGGCCCATCTCCGGCTCCGGCCCGGCTCCGGCCCGGCTCCGGCCCGTCTCCGGCTCCTTCTCCGGCTCCGGCTCCGGCTCCGGCCCGGCTCCGGCTCGACTTACATACATACATACATACATTACATACATGCGTACATACATACACACATACATACATACACACATTACATACATACATACTTACATACATACATTACCTACATACAGAGATACATACATTATATTACATAACGTTGCATTACATTACATTACACACACATTACATACATTACTTTACATTACATTACCTTGCATTACGTTACATA